GAAGAAATAGAAGCTACGAAATTGTTTAGAATTTCAAATATACATCGTACAATTCATGTAAAACGCTTATAAAATAACTGGGGTGAAAAATTAGGTGAGAAAACAGGTGAAATCTCACCTCTTCACCTAAAATATATTTTTATTGAATTCAGCAACAAAATTCTGAGTAAAATAATTTTTATTTTGTATGTAAAGACAGAAATGACAAACATTGAGTTTGAAACAGTTAGAAAGATAGACAATGACACCAAAGTGGTTAGAATAGGTGATTTAAACGTAAGATACTCAAAGAAATACAACAAATATTCTTTGTCAGACATTATATCTCCATCTGAAAAGAAAACAAACGACTGGGTTAGAAATGCTTCAACTCAGAAAATTTTGACAAGAAATCCTGAGCTTATGATATCAGTAAGATTCTATGAACAAGAGCATATCTTATAGACAAAAGTCTTATACCAATAGTTTTGTTATGGTTAGACCCAGTTGTTGGATATAACTTCATAACTTATGGTTCATTCGATACGAACGTTGCAGTGAAGGCTTACTTTACATCGTTCAGAAACCGAAGGACTTCAATACAAAGAGATATAAGATAGGAAGAACATATAATATAATCAAAGATATGACAGTACAGTCAATAGAGTCAAGGTTGTGTTCGTTAATGATATGAGAGCTGCAGAAACAGAACTGCTTGAAGTTTTGAGAAAATGTATGGTGCTCCCATGAAAGGTAAAGAAACGTTTGAAGTAGATGAGATAGATAAAGCTATAAAATTATTTGACGAAGTTGCTGAAAAATACATGTAAAGCGTTTATTTTTGGTCTTTTGTGAAAGTCAGAAAAAATAAAGTTAGTTTTAAAATTATTTTGTATGAAATGACAGTAATGTCAACATTAGAGAACACAACAACTGCTATCGTTCATGAAGCCATTAATGAAGAATACGAGTACATACAATATAACAAACAATTGAGACTCATTCGTTCGGTCAAAGATGACGTGTAAAAATGCTCTATTCTGCAAACCATCAGACATGAAAGACAAGAATTTTCAAATGAGCATTAAGGATAAATGTGAAAGGAAACAAAGAAAAATAGATGGTAAACAGACATGGTATTATGTTTTGAAAGAAGAAATGAAAGGATTATATAAACAGGTTGAACCAAACGATAATGAGGATTCATTTACTGACGATGAAATACCTGTAAATGAAGCTTTATAAAGTATGATTGGAATTTATTTTTGCATTAATCCTGTGTTGTTGTCTAAATGTCATGTTGTCTCATTTTTTCAGAGAAGTTCATTAACCTGGTAGCACATGGTAACATGGTAGCACCTTCAGTTCTTCAAAAATAATTCATAAATGCCTTCCTCCTGTGTTGTCTAAATGTCATGTTGTCTCATTTTTTCAGAGAAGTTCATTAACCTGGTGACCTGGTGACGTAGTGACACCTTCAGTTCTTCAAAAATAATTAATTATTGAATGACCTGAAACCATTAACGATAAAATATATTTTTGGTCGTTTATGACAAATTTTTATTTTTATCATAAATGGATACCCCACAAGCTCAAAATTTACCACGAATCATAACAAGGGAGGAAATGATAAAAATGATGCGAGAACATGTTAAAAAATAACAAACCACTAAAACTGAGAAAATGTGGTTATGCAGTAATGATGGAAAGAGAGATGTGTCAAAGAGGAATAAAAATTAAATTTGGATAGAGTTTAAAAATTCATCTTTATTAAATTCATCTCTTCCAATCAATTTATTTTTCTATTAAATTCTTTTATTTTGCTTCACTCAGTTTAAGGATTGAACGGTAAGTTTCTAACTTTTCAATTATTTCCTTCTTCTCTTTATCGTTTTCAATTACTTTAGTTTTATGGGCATCAACCCCACCACATTGCGGCTTCTTTTTGTAATAGCATATTTTTGATTTAATTCTGTTTAGTTTCTTTTTATATTCATCGTCTGGACTCTTGACTGCTTCATTATCACTCATTTCTTACGAAATAAAAAAAAAATTAAATATTATTTAAATATAATGGGGTAATAAAATAAATTGGAATTTCTATTAATTTATTGTCAACTTCAACTAATGCATTGCCGTTAATATATCTAACAAATTCAGCTATTGTGTCAAATCTTCGTCTTCTTTTTGTCATTGATTTATCAGTTTTTCCATAATCGAGATGAATCAAAACTTTATCCCTTGTTTAAAATTCATGAGCCCCGAATTAATTTGTTCACGTTTAACATCATTCAACCTTTCCATTTGCTTTCTAATATATTCCCATTCTTTTGAAATATCATTTTTCATTTCCATTGGTTTCATGTTTATTGTTCTATGCCATGTATTATTATAAATAAATATACTAACTGTTGTATGATGGAGTCATGATTTCCATCCCAGTATATCTGACCGTTAACCCCTAACGCATCTCTAAGAGTTCTCATTACCGCATCAACTATTTTATTATGAAACGTATGGAGAGGATGAAAAGAAAAAATTAATTTGTGGGAAATAATGAGTCATAGTTGCCTGAAATCCTTTATCACCATCACCCCTGATATTATCTATTCTTTCATGATCTAGTAAGTATTGTATAGCTCTTCTTGTTTCCTGTTCTGTTTTCCCTTTCACTGGAATGCAATATAAATATCTAGTGTTAATGTTAATGGCAAATAAATAAGTAACTTTTCCTTTTGAATATTCTAAATGATCGATTTCGTATGAATATGGATATGGTGCAAATGAAGGGCGACTAAATTTTTCCTTTAACGGTTGAATTTTCGGGTCAATTGGTTTATTTAATATCTTGAAATCCTTTTTAAAATCTTTTTGCTTCTTTAATGTTTGAAATGGATATAATAAAGTGAATGATGAAGGATTAACTGAAGGAGGAGGCGGTACTGTCGTTGGAGGTACTGTCGTTGGAGGTTTTGGTGTTGCAAGTGGTTTAATTTTATCTGCTTTGATTTTGGATTTCATTCCCCCCTTCATTAATTCTGGATGTATTCTATTCATTTGTTTTAAATATGCTGTATATAAAGGTTTGATATACTTTCCCGCTTCGAGTTTATGTTGAAGGATGAATTCCAAAAGTTGATCTTCATTTAAAAGTCGGGCTGAATATGGTTTAACTAATGAATCATAAATTAAAGCTTGTGCTTCATTTATGGTCTGAAGGACCTGGGCGTTTTGTTCCTTTAGCTGTTGAACATTTGCTACTTTAGACCTCGGCTTTGGCTTTTGCGGCTCAGGATTATATAATTTATATAATTCATCAATATCTTCTTCTGTTAATACTTTATTTTTGAAATCTTTCAACTGTTTAAGTTGTGATTTAGTTTTTCCCTTTGTATATTCATTATTTTTAATTTTGTCTTTAATTTCAGAAATTATTTTATTATGATATTTCAAAATTTCATTTTTATAATATGGATAATAATATTCCATATCATCACCCGTTATATTGTTATTATGTTTTTGGAGATATGATTTTAATTCATAATAATCAAGAAAATTTTGATTAAATACTAAATCATCAATTAAAATTTTTAAATCTGTGTTATCCATTTATATAAAAATAAAATCAATGTTTTGGACCCGTAATGTCTGCTTCGTGTGCTTCCCAATTTGGACCATGACGTTTGGCATATGCTTGAGCTTCTGGTAATGTTAAAACGTTTCTCATTTGTTTAACATCTTTGAATCATAGTATCAAAACCATCATTAACGGTTCCTTTTGTCTCTTCTGTGGCATTTCATTAAAATTTTAAATTGTATTAAATAAATGGCATACAACATCCATTTTCACAACATACAGCCTTAGTGTGTGCTCCTGTTAATGCAGTCTTACCGATTGTTAAGCGAGTCATTGACCCATTTTTAAGTTGTAAATTAATATTCTGACCATCAAATATCACTTTATTATTTATTATATCCAAATATTTTTTAGGTGTTAATTGCTTATTTTGTCTTAAACTAACACCCTTCATTTTTTGTGCAATCTTTTTAAAATCACTTCCATCAATTGAACCGTTGAATGATGTAAACATTTAGGACATAAAGCAACCATGTTATCACCTTGTTTCTCAATTGCTAAACCCAATAACTTCTTCTCATGTGCTTTTTCTTCAGCTTTATTCTTTAATTTAGGTTTAAATTTCTCATCAAAACAAAAGAAATCAAATGGTGCGAATTTGAAAATGTTTTTATCATAAAATTGTTTATCGGTAACAATTGCTTGAAATGCTTGAGTGTTAGGAAGACTTGGATCGCCAGCGATTGCCCAATAAGATGAATTAGTATCACCTTCAATGAAATGAAAACGATTAACATTCATGCATTTATACATAAAATCATAAATGAAAACAAATACCAGTATTTGCGTTATCTAAAGTAAAAATGCCTCTTGTAAACATGTATCACATCTATAAAATCTATCTTTAAGCATCACTTGATATGTATCTTCACCTATTTCTCTTATGTTTAAACTTATTTGACATACATGCAACGCGTGCCTTCTGTGCATTCGTTATTTTAGTCTTTGCGTAATTTTGTGTATTCATTGCATCGTAACCATATGATCCATTAAGTGAAATCTTGCAAAATAAACTTTTTCCTTTATTTCCTTCTAATTCAGCCTTTTGTCTTTCGTTCATAAATTTGTTCGCAAATTCATTAAAACAAGTGTTTTTAGTAAATGTTAAAATTGATTGAATATCATCAATGATAAAATGAAATCTGTCTATTAGATACCATAGATAATAAGAAGAAAATGGTTGATATTGGTTGTGTGTTGATGCTAACTGAGTTAATTTCCTCTGTTTCTGGTCAACTGGTAGATTGTTTGATTTCATGTAATTATACATAAAACTGCCAATTGTTTTTTCATCTGTGATAATATCTAAGTTTCTTATTATCGGTAAAAAGTTTATGTAATCATTAATGTATTTTTCATCAATGTGACCCTTTACTTCAGCCACGAATAAAGTATTTTTCTTCTTAATAATTCCAGTGCTTTTGCTTTCTTTGTTGCTGTATCACAAATGATAACACCATTCAATCTTCCCGGCATATACATTTTATGGTCAGTATATTGAATGAAATCATGAGGATTAGATGAAAATGATGAAGGATATAATGAATTAAAGTCAACTCCAACGAAATGAGTCATAATGTTGGTGGTGTCCTCATTTGATACAGTTTTAGTTTCTGGATTATATGAAAGTTTATTAATGTGCGTGATTCCTTTAAGATTTACTCTATGTTGAACATTTGATAAACCACCAGTAATTCCATTACGGAGAATGTGATAAGCTTCAACTGAATCTAAAGTCATTGGTAAATTATTTTTTAATGCATAATTTCTTAAATTGATTCTTAAACGTTGAACATCTTCATCTTTATTTGATTTCACGACATTGCAATAACAACACATTAACTGACAATTTTCTTTGGTATGTGGTTTTTCATTATCTATTCTATCTAATGTTGGTTTATTTGCATATGTAAACGCTTTACCACACATTTTGCATTTAGATGAAAGGATTAAATCGTGATAGTATTGAAAATCATCCATTGAAACATTATTTTTAGTATCCCTTTCTGCTTTTTCATCTTGTTTCTTATATGATTCAATTTTATATTTCCAATACTTTTTCGTTAATTCAAAACTTGATTCTATCTCTTCCTCAGGATATTTTTCATTAGGATTAAAGTCTTTATATGCTAAAGCGTAACGAATCATTGAAGCATTCGATGATAAAGAAAGATTATGAAGCATATCAATTTTATAAACAAATGTTTCTTCAATAATTTTATCGATTGGGTCAATCATAATTTCAACATCTTTATTGCAATAATGAATAAAATATTCTAATCTATTCTTAAAGTTTTTAGCATCATTGAGATATATTTGATAATCACTATCTGATATAGTTTCTTGAGTTAATGCTGAATAAAATGAATCTTGAGTGAATGGTTCCACTTTATATAATTCTTCTTCGTAATTCTCCCACGTGATAAATTGATAAGGGAAAAAGGATTTAACACGTGATTTATTGTTTCCGAAATCTTGAGTGAATTGGTCTAATGTCCCACCGCGCTATATAATTTCTGATGTCAATAAATTTCAATTCATATGGAACGTTTGTTTCTTTACAATGATTTGCTTAAATTGTGAAGATGAACCCAGCATTGATTTTATTTTCCATTTTGCAGCGTTTAAATCACGAAGAATTAAATTTAAATCAAACTTTCCCGAATTAAAACCTATATATTCACTTTATTGAATTCCTCATCTAGAAGTTCTTTAAATGCTTCCTTCTGTTTTTCATTTAATGTATGGGACAAAGTCTCCGCCGTTTGGTCCGTTTGCGACTTCATTAATTCTTCATATTGTTCAATATTTGATTTAGCAACTAATGAACAGGTTGAAAATAAAAACTCAATCCAATCAGAAATAAAAGAATCACTCGAAGTTAAGCAAAAATTCCTCGTATATGTTTTATCGTTTAATTTAACCGTTGATGATACCATGAATGGTTTTAAGTAAGCGTTCAAAGTTGCACACTCAGAAAGTTGTAATTCTTCTTTAGTCTCTAATGTTTCGAAGTCAAAAGTAATATAATATCTTGTCGGTTGATAATATTCCTGCAAATTATGAGCTAATAACCACTGATATATCTTCTTCTGTTTCGTAATATGTGGTGCATATGGTTGCTGTGTCTTTTGCAACTGAACGTCTTGAATTAATCTTCCATTATTTTCTTTACATTTCTCACAATGCTTTAAAAATCTTCTTTGTGTTTTTCCTTTCTGGATCATCACGGATAGAATAAACTTCTTCTTTACAATATGGACAAACTCTATAGCCGGTGAGTGCTTCAACGTCTGTTATTCTGTCAGCGTGAAGTTTTCCACATGGACTCTGTGTTAATAAAATATTTACTGTTTCAAATTCTGGATCTATCATTATTGATTCCACTAATGGAAAGTCTACCTTATTTATGTCCACGTCTTCTGGTTGAGGATCACAATAATAGAAATCAATATTAACATTTAACATTCTCGCTAATCTCTCACTTTCTGATGAAATGTCAAACCTTCATATGAATCTATTGCTTCATTTAAATAACTTCTACGAGTTTTAGGATTAACACCATCAGGAATGTTATAGAAGCGTTTAAATAACCTTCTACCTTCTGCTCTAATTTGATTATCATTCATTTTAGCTGTTCCGTTTTTGTTCATTTATGTAAGAATAAAAAAAATTAAAAATAAAGTTTATTTTTTAAAGCCCATAAAATGAATTAAGAACACATAAATTTTTATCATCTGCGACGTGACGAATACATTTTAATTTACTCAAGAATGCGTACCCTGATACATTAAATCTAATTCCTGTCTTATTTAATTTCACAACTTTGAAAAGGAATGTATGAATAGCTATAAAATGATGAGAAGATGTTTTATGGGTTGCTTCCATTTTTTCTGAAATAAATGAATAAATATAATGTTTATAAGTTTTCATATCTTTTATATTCTTAATAACGAATGGTATAGACCTTTCAACTTCGTCTTCCTTCGGTGCTGTTCTTTCATATGAAACATTATTAGTATTTCAATAATGAAACCACAATCACACAAAATTTTATAGGTTCCAATGGTTTCTTTTGATATTTTATCTAATAAACCAAAAACTTTATCAACACCTGTGCATTTATTTAAATAATAATTTGTGTAAATATCATGATCTTCTTTCTTAATCGTATTAGTTGCATATGTCACGTTTTTAAGAGCTTTTTTGAATTTTTCGGAATCTAAAGGTGGTGAAAGTAGGATACAGGGGTATTCTTCATTATCAATAAATTGTAACTTATGTTTACGTATAAATTTAGTACCTTCTTCTGAAAGTGTTTCGTCTATTTCACCATCTAATAAATTTTGTGTTGATTCTGAGACATAATTTTTATATCTTTCTTCATGAGATTTCTGAACTGCTGATTCTGAAGCTGGGATATTCATTAAACCCTCTACTTCATTTTCATTATATTTTTCAACTTCTCTTAATTCCTTAATTTTTTCATCTATTTCATCTCTTATTTTTTCCAGTCTTTCAATTTCAATTTCATTGTATTCATCATCATCTTTAATCCGTTCTTCATAATATTCAGGGAAAACATCAGGTTCTTTAGGTTTTTCTTCTTTAGATGTGGGATATAAGAAATTTATAACATCATCTTTATTCATTTTTCCATCATAATCAAACTCATTTAAAAACTCCGCGAATTTTTGACAATTTCTTAAATAATATTTATCAACTTCATAACCCGCCTCATCTAATATATCCTTTATTTCCTCATTTGTGAATCCCAATTTTTTAACGTCGTTAGTCTTGACGCTCATTTCATACGAATTAAAAATAAATTATTCAAAAATGTAAGACATGAATTTTTAAAGTTTATTTTTTATTTTGTATTTCATTAGCTTATTTTGGCTTTCATATTCATTTAATAATTCACAATCTTCATTTTTAAATTGAAGTTTAACCCATTCATGATTTAAACAATGTTTAATTAATCGCGGAATATCTGACATCATCTATATATAACTTCTTTTATAAAAGATGAAATAAATTATTTTAAAATTAATGTTAATTTTTTAATGTGTTTAGTATATAATATTTATTACTAATTTATTTAATAATGTCGCGCTTTCTTACGAATTAAAAAAATAAATTATTCAAAAATGTAAGACATGAATTTTTAAAGTTTATTTTATTCATGAAAATAATTATTTCTAATTTCTTTTACTCTCTCGTACATACTAGATTTAAAGAATTCAGAACTTTTACCATAATCTCCTAAATGTTTTCTTATCTTATTGGTTTTCCATTCATTATATGAAAACTGTATAAACTTTATCTTTATCTTTGCATCTTTCATCACTTCCAATATATTTATATTTCAATTTTGATTTATTGGTTTCATATTCATTAACGTTTAATAATTCACAATCTTCCTTTTTAAATAAATGTTTTATGTATTCAGGATTAACAATTCTATAATATTGCTTCCCTTTAAATCTTTGAATATAAACAGGAACACCATCCTCTAAAATTCGATAATCTATTTTATCTGGTTTTACTTGTTGGGTCATTTATGTAAGAATAAAAAAATAACTTTAATTTAAAAATAATATGTTAAAAAAATGATACAAAATCGCTCGATATTGTATGAATTCTTACGTTTACAAAAAAAGTCACACAACCCATCCTATCCTACTACTCATGACACATCAATTTTGCATTTGAAACACCAGATCCATCTGATGTCGGGATTGGTAAACAAGTTTGGTTGGCCAGGTGGTCAGATTGAAAATTCACAAAAAAAATTTACGATTAGATTTTATTCAAAAAAACAGATTTTGAGATGCGATTTTTCCTGGATGAGTGCTATCGCAACCGATATGAAGATCCTCTAGAAGAAATAATCCCGATCTTCACTATTGCTGTCTTCTTAAATATGACATATTCCTTTTTATTGTACATTAAATCAAAAAGATCAATAAAAAAGGCAATGGAAATATTACATGTTTGGGGCTTTTACATATCAGGATCAATGATTGTTTTTGCGTTAAAGTCTTTATTGAATGATAGAACATGCAGTCTCAAACCAAACTCAGTTTCAGGTCATACATTCTACAATATCTTCTTTATTATCGCATCATGGGTATTATTTAGATCGGATAAAGAACAAAAGCCATTTTATCTTTTCATTTTACTTCTCGCACTCAACTTCTCTCTTTGCGCTAATATTGTTGTTACGTACGTTGGTGGATATCATTCCATCCGTCAAATGCTTTATGGAGGTGTTTCTTCCATAATTGTATATCTTCTTTACCATCTTGTATCGAAACTACGTCAGACATGGAATATGTTGACTATTTTAGGCCTATCCATTCTCATTACCACCTTCTTTGGACTCTTTATTGGCGGAAATATCAGTTTCATGGGATATTCGCCAGTTATTCTATGGTATATTTGCTTCTTACTCCTTCTTAAAAAGGCCAAAACTACATAACTGTTAACCAAGAAATACAAAAAATTTATTATTGGCAAAATTTATAAAAACTATCAATTTTAATAAACAAATTGTCTAAATTTACTATTATCTGTAAATGAATAAATTGATTTTACTACTATTTATATTCATTTTAATTTTCAGACTTTTTTGTATCGCTTTTTTTTTATTTTTCACTTTTTGAAAAATTATTAAGGGTGCACCCGTATGTACGTTTATTTGAGAGGAGGAGGATTACCCTCTCAATTTTGAGGGATTCGTTAGTTTATTTTCTCGATGAATATGCAATAAAATTTGATTTTTACCTTATCAATATACTTTATATAATATACACATGTACATGTAAAAACTTTTTTCCAAAATCCTCAGGAATTAAGGGATTTTTGAATAGGGTTGTACAAACTGGCACAATTTTGCGGGCCGCGTGCCAGGAGCTGGCACGCGGCCAAAATCAAAAAAGTGGCCAAAAATCGGGCCTCGTGGCGTGGAAAGGATGTCGCCCTTCGGGCTCCACCCTTTCCACGCCACTCGGCCTATGACCACAATTATATAATATGCTCATTATTATTTTTTCTTCTTTTCTCTTCTTTTTTTTCTTTTTCTCTTTTCTTTCTTCTTTTTCCCTTTTCACTTCCTTTTTTTCTAGTTTTGGAAAGGAAAAAGTAAAAAATTTAATAATTAATTTATTACTATGAAAATATACTTTTTAGCTTATATTGTAAGCTGTGAGAGTTTTAAGTGATGGAAGATATAAATCAAATTTGAAATTCAACAAATCTTGTTATGATTAAGTTGAATATTGTACTCTAATTAAGAGTTTTCAGGTATGAACTCAGGTATTATATAATAAAAGTATAACTCAAGATAATAAAGAGGTTTTTAAAATGTAGATCTGAAAATCAAACTACCATGTTTGATATGATTAAGTTGAATAATGTTATTTTATTAAATGGTTCAAATCTGTGAAATCGGCAATTACAAATTAAAGGCGTAGTTCAAAAAATTAAAGAGATTTTAAAAATTTAATATCAGAATTAAACTAAAAAAGGATTTAGTTATTTCAGTAATTATCAGAAAAGGTTAAAAAGATAGGGTAAGTAATGAGACTTGAGTGAGATGTGAGAAATCATATGTAAATAATTAGATATCTGATGAGTAAGTAGTAATGAGAGTTAAGATCTGGTTAGTAAGGTAGTAATGAGAGTTAAGATCTGGTTAGTAAGGTAGTAATGAGAGTTAAGATCTGATGAGTAAGGTAGTAATGAGAGTTAAGATCTGGTTAGTAAGGTAGTAATGAGAGTTAAGATCTGGTTAGTAAGGTAGTAATGAGAGTTAAGATCTGGTTAGTAAGGTAGTAATGAGAGTTAAGATCTGGTTAGTAAGGTAGTAATGAGAGTTAAGATCTGGTTAGTAAGGTAGTAATGAGAGTTAAGATCTGAGTAAGGTAGTAATGAGAGTTAAGATCTGGTTAGTAAGGTAGTAATGAGAGTTAAGATCTGGTTAGTAAGGTAGTAATGAGAGTTAAGATCTGATAGTAAGGTAGTAATGAGAGTTAAGATCTGGTTAGTAAGGTAGTAATGAGAGTTAAGATCTGGTTAGTAAGGTAGTAATGAGAGTTAAGATCTGTTAGTAAGGTAGTAATGAGAGTTAAGATCTGGTTAGTAAGGTAGTAATGAGAGTTAAGATCTGGTTAGTAAGGTAGTAATGAGAGTTAAGATCTGTTAGTAAGGTAGTAATGAGAGTTAAGATCTGTTAGTAAGGTAGTAATGAGAGTTAAGATCTGGTTAGTAAGGTAGTAATGAGAGTTAAGATCTGGTTAGTAAGGTAGTAATGAGAGTTAAGATCTGGTTAGTAAGGTAGTAATGAGAGTTAAGATCTGGTTAGTAAGGTAGTAATGAGAGTTAAGATCTGGTTAGTAAGGTAGTAATGAGAGTTAAGATCTGTTAGTAAGGTAGTAATGAGAGTTAAGATCTGGTTAGTAAGGTAGTAATGAGAGTTAAGATCTGGTTAGTAAGGTAGTAATGAGAGTTAAGATCTGGTTAGTAAGGTAGTAATGAGAGTTAAGATCTGGTTAGTAAGGTAGTAATGAGAGTTAAGATCTGGTTAGTAAGGTAGTAATGAGAGTTAAGATCTGTTAGTAAGGTAGTAATGAGAGTTAAGATCTGGTTAGTAAGGTAGTAATGAGAGTTAAGATCTGGTTAGTAAGGTAGTAATGAGAGTTAAGATCTGTTAGTAAGGTAGTAATGAGAGTTAAGATCTGGTTAGTAAGGTAGTAATGAGAGTTAAGATCTGGTTAGTAAGGTAGTAATGAGAGTTAAGATCTGGTTAGTAAGGTAGTAATGAGAGTTAAGATCTGGTTAGTAAGGTAGTAATGAGAGTTAAGATCTGGTTAGTAAGGTAGTAATGAGAGTTAAGATCTGGTTAGTAAGGTAGTAATGAGAGTTAAGATCTGGTTAGTAAGGTAGTAATGAGAGTTAAGATCTGTTAGTAAGGTAGTAATGAGAGTTAAGATCTGGTTAGTAAGGTAGTAATGAGAGTTAAGATCTGGTTAGTAAGGTAGTAATGAGAGTTAAGATCTGGTTAGTAAGGTAGTAATGAGAGTTAAGATCTGTTAGTAAGGTAGTAATGAGAGTTAAGATCTGGTTAGTAAGGTAGTAATGAGAGTTAAGATCTGGTTAGTAAGGTAGTAATGAGAGTTAAGATCTGGTTAGTAAGGTAGTAATGAGAGTTAAGATCTGGTTAGTAAGGTAGTAATGAGAGTTAAGATCTGGTTAGTAAGGTAGTAATGAGAGTTAAGATCTGTTAGTAAGGTAGTAATGAGAGTTAAGATCTGGTTAGTAAGGTAGTAATGAGAGTTAAGATCTGGTTAGTAAGGTAGTAATGAGAGTTAAGATCTGGTTAGTAAGGTAGTAATGAGAGTTAAGATCTGTTAGTAAGGTAGTAATGAGAGTTAAGATCTGGTTAGTAAGGTAGTAATGAGAGTTAAGATCTGGTTAGTAAGGTAGTAATGAGAGTTAAGATCTGGTTAGTAAGGTAGTAATGAGAGTTAAGATCTGGTTAGTAAGGTAGTAATGAGAGTTAAGATCTGGTTAGTAAGGTAGTAATGAGAGTTAAGATCTGTTAGTAAGGTAGTAATGAGAGTTAAGATCTGGTTAGTAAGGTAGTAATGAGAGTTAAGATCTGGTTAGTAAGGTAGTAATGAGAGTTAAGATCTGGTTAGTAAGGTAGTAATGAGAGTTAAGATCTGGTTAGTAAGGTAGTAATGAGAGTTAAGATCTGGTTAGTAAGGTAGTAATGAGAGTTAAGATCTGGTTAGTAAGGTAGTAATGAGAGTTAAGATCTGGTTAGTAAGGTAGTAATGAGAGTTAAGATCTGGTTAGTAAGGTAGTAATGAGAGTTAAGATCTGGTTAGTAAGGTAGTAATGAGAGTTAAGATCTGTTAGTAAGGTAGTAATGAGAGTTAAGATCTGGTTAGTAAGGTAGTAATGAGAGTTAAGATCTGGTTAGTAAGGTAGTAATGAGAGTTAAGATCTGGTTAGTAAGGTAGTAATGAGAGTTAAGATCTGTTAGTAAGGTAGTAATGAGAGTTAAGATCTGGTTAGTAAGGTAGTAATGAGAGTTAAGATCTGGTTAGTAAGGTAGTAATGAGAGTTAAGATCTGGTTAGTAAGGTAGTAATGAGAGTTAAGATCTGGTTAGTAAGGTAGTAATGAGAGTTAAGATCTGGTTAGTAAGGTAGTAATGAGAGTTAAGATCTGGTTAGTAAGGTAGTAATGAGAGTTAAGATCTGGTGAGTAAGGTAGTAATGAGAGTTAAGATCTGGTTAGTAAGGTAGTAATGAGAGTTAAGATCTGATGAGTAAGGTAGTAATGAGAGTTAAGATCTGGTTAGTAAGGTAGTAATGAGAGTTAAGATCTGGTTAGTAAGGTAGTAATGAGAGTTAAGATCTGATAGTAAGGTAGTAATGAGAGTTAAGATCTGGTTAGTAAGGTAGTAATGAGAGTTAAGATCTGGTTAGTAAGGTAGTAATGAGAGTTAAGATCTGGTTAGTAAGGTAGTAATGAGAGTTAAGATCTGGTTAGTAAGGTAGTAATGAGAGTTAAGATCTGGTTAGTAAGGTAGTAATGAGAGTTAAGATCTGATGAGTAAGGTAGTAATGAGAGTTAAGATCTGGTTAGTAAGGTAGTAATGAGAGTTAAGATCTGGTTAGTAAGGTAGTAATGAGAGTTAAGATCTGGTTAGTAAGGTAGTAATGAGAGTTAAGATCTGATGAGTAAGGTAGTAATGAGAGTTAAGATCTGGTTAGTAAGGTAGTAATGAGAGTTAAGATCTGGTTAGTAAGGTAGTAATGAGAGTTAAGATCTGATGAGTAAGGTAGTAATGAGAGTTAAGATCTGATGAGTAAGGTAGTAATGAGAGTTAAGATCTGGTTAGTAAGGTAGTAATGAGAGATCTGCGGGCAGTAATGATACATCTATGAGTACATAACTAAAACCTGAGTTCTATGAGCGAAATCTGAGAGCTAAAAGCCGAGAGATCTAAGGTAAGTAATGAGAGAAGAGAATTTGAAATTTTACAAAATACGTTTACTCATACAAAATAATTTGCATTCTTTTATAACGAATCTCAATGCCAATTAATACATAAAACAGATTTTAGCAATCAATTGCAAGATTTAGAAAGATTTTATTTATAATCTCAGCCAAATTAACAAATATTTTATTGATTTCGTAAAAAATAGCAATAAAACATAAAAATATGACATTCTATTTTTCCAAAAAAATTTCAAAAATCATTTTTTAACATGAAATTTATATTTTTTAATTTTGTTTTAAATTTTGAATTTTTTTTTGGAATTTTCAACCATGTCAAAAGTCGGGATCTACAAATGTATTCTCTTTGACATAGGATAAAAACATCCTTTCTTATAATTTCATTGTAAAATAAAATTTTCTTAAATTTATTGAATCCAAACTCAACTTTGCAACATTTTATTATCATAAAAACTAAGAAACATCAGGTAAACTTCAATTTGGAGAGCTTAAAATCATATCTAAATTGAAAAATAAGGGGAAAAAAATTGTAAAAAAAAATCTCATTAGATGGGGCAAAAAGTGACTTTTTTAATGTGTTTTTTAAAAAAATCGTGCCAGCTGGCCAAAAAAGGTGTGCCAGCAGGCGTGCCAGTTTGTACAACCCTATTTTTGAATTTTAAGAATTTTTTTCGAATTTTTTCGAAAAAAAAATATTTTCAGAACAGCCTTAACGGCTAAGATTTAGGAACAATGTTAAGTATCAAAAAGAAAGGAGGTCTGATATAGACAACATATATCGTTGAAGGTTGAAAAAATCTCTAATATTTGAGCCCAAAATTTCAAATTTTAATTTTTTGAAAAAAGAGGCCACCCGTATGTACGTTTATTTGAGAGGAGGAGGATTATATTTTTGAAAGGGTGAAACATTATGAATATGTTAATTATATAATAATATGTATTATTATAAAAAAGAAAAAATAAAGCACGTTAAAATTTTTCTTTCTTGATTTTTTACAAAATCTACTTAGAATTATGCAAAATATGACTAAATAATTATAAATTTCAAGTTAAATTTTAATTTTGATAAATAATTTAAATTTCAAAATATCAAGTTCAGTTCGACTATGTATGTAGTAATTCCTCAATAAAGTGCCAAAACCCTATTAAAATATATGAACATTTTCAACATTTTAATGTTTTTATTTAAAAATTTGTTGGAATATGAGCTTCAAACAATTATTATGTAAATAAAAATAATTAAATATATGTATTTATTCGTATTACAACCGTAGTAAGGCGATTCTTCCTTTCTTCTACTGAGGTTTGAATTTGATTTCGAATTGTAAAGAGATTCAAAGGGAAAATACTAGCGGATAAAAACTACCTCCATGAAAGGGTCATAATGGACTCAAGTTGTATTTTTTGATATTTTTTGCTTTTCGAGCCTAAATAGGTAGCCAAGATAATGCCTAAAAATAAGGTTCTAAATTCTGAAGTTTACATGATCCTCTCGTGTGCACCCTTAATGTCTGAGCAAGACATTCATCCAAGCAAATACAACAAATTACGAAGTATCTACAAATATTATATCGATTCATATCTTGCATTGTATCAGCTAAAAACTGAAAATGAAGAAGAATTAAAGTCAATTTACAAAATGATCAAAACAGAATTGATTGATTCAAAGATATATCTGGCCAAAATTGCTATTAAAGACATTTTAGATATCATTCCATATAATAATCGTTATACAAAGTCATATTTATTTCTTGCCAAACTCATATCTGATGATTACCATGTCACAGAGGTCAGAAGTGTTGCAACTATTTCAAGAATCCTATTTTACAAAGAATATGGAATTAAATTAGACAAATCTATTGATTACGATCAATTTAACTCAGAAAATCGGGATATTCATACAGAAAATACTGTTTACAGGGCAATTATGTATAATGACAAAGAAAAATTCATCTATTTCATTGAAAGCGAAGGATTTGATAAAGATCAAAAACTTGAAAGCGATTTATATCCTGAATATTATGGAGGATTATCATTACTTGAATTATGTTGTTACCATGGAGCAGTTGATTGTTTCAAGTTATTAAGAACTAAATTTAAGTCAGAAATAACTGATGTATGTCTAGTATTCTCATTTTTAGGGGGAATCAAGAAATCATGATGGAATGTTTGAAATATCAAAAACCAAATAAAAAATGCATGAAACATGCAATTATTTCTCACAACATTGATTTTGTTACATTCTTGGTGAATGAATACAATATAGAGATCGATTTAAAATACTGCGGAGTTTACAATAATCTTGAGTCCTTTTTAGTTTATTTCGATCAAACTAATGATTTCAGCCAATGCTTGATTAAATCAGTGATTTTTAATATTCCATCCCTTTTGGAATACATCCTTTCACATGGTGGGAATATCAATGAAATAGACGAATATGAAAGAACAGCACTTCATATTGCAGCACTGTATAATTGTAAAGAAATTGCCGAAGTTCTTATTTCACATGGTGCAAATATCAATGAAAAAGATAAATATGGAAATACCGCTCTTCATATTGCAGCACTGTATAATTGTAAAGAAACCGCCGAACTTCTTATTTCACATGGTGCAAATATCAATGAAAAAGATAAATATGGAAATACCGCTCTTCATATTGCAGCATGGCGCAATAGTAAAGAAACTGCCGAAGTACTTATTTTGTATGGTGCAAATATCAATGAAAAAAATCAATTTGGACAAACTGCACTTCATGTTGCCTCAGAAAATAATAGTAAAGAAACTGCAGAAGTTCTTATTTCACATGGTGCAAAAAAATAATGCTCTTACATAAAATTTCCGTTAGTTTTCTGGAATTTTGAAAAAAAGAAATTCATTAGAAAGTAAATTGAATGTAAAGTAATTATTTTTGCCCATTTGTATGCACTTGAGTTTGTTAGAAGGATGTGATGAGTTATATTATATTCATCCTCGTGTAATTGCACATGAATTCTCTGGATATAGTCTTCCAAAAATGCACGACATGTTTAGGGAGATAATATTCAATCTGGATAGTATTATGCCAACTAAATACAATATGTTGTAAAAAAAGCCGACCGAAATTTGACATTTCACAAATTTTGTTGGGCTTCAGACAGAATTGAACGCAAAATACAAGCCCATTCAATGGAATATTATGAAACTACATGAACATTTGCATATAGAAAATACATTAATATTTATTTACTTTTATATTTTACAAGGTTGAAAGGCTTGCACAGAGGACGGTTTTCTCGTTAATCAAAAAATAGTCGATTGAATTAAAATAAAATTAATATAATAAAAATTTTTATTAAAACACGCATTTATTTAATCTTGGGACATCATCATTATCAGAGCTCTTGGAACTAACGAAGAATTGGCTTCTTCTTGTGTAATAACATTTAATTTTGAATAATGTTCGAGAGCTGTAATTAACCAATAAAATCCTTCGCAGTTGGTTGAAAGGAATACGATCTTCCATAGAACAATCAAGTCATCGAAGGATTTCGAGGCATCAAACGAAGTATTTGTCCATTGAGCAATACAAGCTCCAAGACAGAGTCCTACCTGGTATAACAAATGCGAAAGTTCTGAAGGGAATGTCTGGAAAACTACTAAATCAAAGAATTCTTGTGCTTTTAACAAATATTGTTCTTTTTCTGTAAATTGCGAGCAAGTTAAGTCATGGAACTCCTGAGGAATAAATGGCTTATTGAGACCAAGTTGAGTTAGCGTAAGATTCTTCATTTCGGCAAATTTTGCTTCAAATTTTTCGTTTGTCTTTCTTTCGAGTTCAATCAAGAAGTATTTATCGAATAAGTATCGTACACAGAGTTGGTTGATGACCCTCATCATCGATTCCTGATCAGGATTTTGCTCGTCAATTCCAATAAATTCGGCAATTGCTTGATTCATTTCACTTGCGTATCCTGGAATGTCTTCAGCTGTTACCTGTATCTGTATTTTCTGCGCTATATTAAATGGAGAGACCTTGGATTCGAGGAAATAAGAAAATACGTAATAATCATCAGTAAATGGAATGTATCCGCTTGCCGGATCGATCGCAGCAATACAATTTGTAACGATGTGAGAAAGTAAGCTTACATTTTGCTCTTTATTGGAAAATGGTCTTGGCAAACATTTATTTTGATATGCCAAGTCATAAACAGCGAATTTAATGCTGTGGTATTTTATGTACTGCGTTGGCATCAAATCTGCTTCAAGAGATTTCCAGTCTTGGAAGGCAGTGTAAGACCTGACCGCGATGTAACGAGGATTTTCAAGGAGATATGCACAAATATTGTATAATGCCTGAAGAATTTCTACGCGTTGAATAAGAATTGCTCTTCTTGTTGCAAAAAGATTATGTTTGGTACTTATCCAAATTGGATAGAGAGTTGCATATTTTCTGTATATGTCTAAGTTGATATAGTTGAGAGGGAACGGATGCTCTGTCTCGCTCTTCTTTTCGTATTTGTCGAAAATTTTATCTAAGTTATCTAATTCTTTATGCATGTCTTCAATAAAAATTGGTGCTTTTTCAACGATCTCTTTCCAATGAGGATATAGTTTCTCCATGATATAAAGCGCACTTAATACTTCTGGAGTTTCATAAAAAATTAAAAATGGCAAAACTTCAGGTCTTAAGAAGTCATCCATAATAGGATCGGCTGTCATCCTAGAAGAAATCTTCCTGTAAAGTGCTTCTTTTTCTTTTTCTGTCATTTCTCTGTTTTGTTTCTCTTTTTTCTTCCCCTTCATCATTTTTTGAAGAACGACACTTCATTTAATTCATGAATTTAAAATACCAATAGAAAATATACATTTTTTGTCGTACAATATACGTCAGATTTTGAGGTTTTATAGAAAAATTTGATCAAAATGGATTGAAATTGAAAGATTTATTTGATGACAAACGCACATACTACGAGAACATCATGTCAAAACACTATGACAGTCAATAGTTTTTAAATTTTGAAGAGAGAGAGGGTCAAAGTTGCTATTTGTCACTTTTCCACAAGAATATAATGGGGAAAAAGTTATCATATAGTTGCTCTCATTCACTGAGGTGAGAGTTGCATGTAGTTTAATGGGATAAACAGTGGGATTGCTGCTCTAAGTCCTAGGTTCGAGACACATTGGCTTCATTTTTCTCTTTTTTATTGACGTAAACTATTCAATTTTTGTGTTCTCCATTCAAATTTCAGAATTTTTTTTGCAGATTTCACGCTACATTCGAAGTTACCTTTTGTAACAACCACCACTGCCTACCAAAGACGAAAGTGTGTCACGATTTCACCCGGAAATCCGACGGTTGTTTAAGAGTATGCACTTTTGTCACCTACTCATTTTGAAGATAAATCTGTTATTTCCGATGAAGAAAATGCATTTTTAATTAATATAATATATTTTATTAAGTCGAAGCAAAGTTTTGCCGCGATTTGGAAATATTCAAATTTATATTTTAATTCTTCTGCAATATGAAGCGCATTTTATCCTTTAGATCCTTTACACCCCGTCAAAATAATCGGCCGGCCAAGATAGCTTTCAATCGGAAAATTTACACTTTTCCGACGTTTTGTCAGGGGCGCGAAGCGACCCAAAATGTCGGAAAAGTGTAATTCTTAGGCATATGATTATTTTTGCTGTTAATGCCGAACGGCATTTGAATCAAAAATAATCATATGTCTGAGAATTGCATTTTTTAAATATTTAAAATAATTGTTTTGGAAAATATATGCTATTTGTGAATTTTCATTTAACAACATTTTTCCCTTCTCTCAATACGAAATTCAACTTCATATTGATTCCCTGACAGCATCTAAGCTATTTTTAGCGATCAAATTAGGACAATGTTCACGTATCAACACTTGAAATTGAATTTTAGACGGAAGGAGTCAATCTTAAAAACTTTATTCAAATTCAACAAAGTTTTTCAGATTATTTCGGCTCAGATGAAAACTTCAATAATAAATTTAATAACGAAACAATACGCGGAAGCGGCAATTATTACATTCATAATGCAATATTTTCTTTCCACTATCAAAATACTTCAATTTACCTTAGCTCAAGCAGCAAAGTCTTACTCGAAACATGCACATTTTACAATAACAGTTCCACAGAATGCGGTGGATCATTCTATACCAAAGAATCCGAATGTGTCTTAAATCGTATTTGTATATTTCTTTCATCAAGTCGTGATCATGGAATTGGATATTTTATTTTGGCAACATATGAAAGTAACAACAAAAATTATGCCTTTGAATGTTCACTTTCAGAGTGCAATGGATTCCATGCTCCTATTGGGCATAAATACGGAGATATCCAAGTAAGTAATTTGAACACATCTAATAACATAGCTGTTGGTTATGGTGCATATAAAATTGAATCTCCAAAAGAAACAGGAGTTATTAATTTAACAACAGCATCAAATACAACAACTTCATTTAACTCTGCAATTTACAATTATGATAAATTTAAAATTACAAAATGTAATTTTTTATACAATGAATATAGAGGAGGAGGCAATGCAATAATTCAATTATGGACTTTGACTACATATTCAAGTTGTGCATTCATAGGAAATAAAGGAAACTATTTATTTGATTTTCAACCGAGCATTATTGAGAATTGTTACTTTAATGAAAATGATATCACTCAAACTGTAAGTAATAATCCGGTTGATTTAGAATCAGTTCAACAATTAGATTCCTTTATATCTCATTATTCAACAGATTGTTCAAAACTTGAAGAAAAAAGTTTAGAAGAAGATGAATTTGATTTGAAAGACATCAAAAAACATTGTTATTAATGTTTATAAAACTTCATTAATCGAAGCTTTAAATTTTTCTCACTTATTCTCTTAAATAAACACTTTCTCTATCATTATTATAATATGCAAATGAACAGAAGCCATGATTTTTATAATCTTAATACTTCATTCTCATATCTTCATCTTATTACTTACATACATTAAAATATGAAATGGAAAACACTTTTTGTGGGATAATTATACTTATACATATACCATGTCTGAAGAAAACTTTGATATTTAGATCAAATATTACTAAAACATTCAATTTCTTCCTATTTCTATATTGCAAAAAGCAAAAGCATAGATAATAGCCCCTAAATACTAACTTTAACCATATATAAATTACAAATTTTATTTGATAATTTTTATATTGCTCTTCATTGATATCAAATACATTGAAAGAACATATAAAAAAATAAAAATCTTTGTATGAAATTTGATGTATAAAAAAAAAGATTTAACGAATAGTAAAATAAAAAAATATAGAAAAGAAAGTGGGAGATATCAAATAAATAAGCAGTGAAATATAAAAAATGCATATAACATAAGTTATTTGTGGTTTGGAGCAGAAGTGTTCTGTTCGAAGTAATTTGTGATGAAAGTAGCCAAGCTCCAACCATTTCCTTCCATCAACGATCTATCTCTCATGAGTTCCTTGTATTTGTTGACGAAAAGTTGGCCAGAAGTAGAAATCTGGTCCATGACAACGATGAGAGACTCTCTGAGCTTCTCCTTCGAGCACGGCTGGTAGACAGGCTCCTCCTCGCACACGGCAACAGAGAAAACGAACTCGATCAGCTCAGGGAAAATCTTTTCTCTGAGTGTTTTGTTCCACGAGTTGAAAACGTCGTACTTTCCGTCGAGCTCGATCAAGTTGAACGGTGTCATGAGGAGTTGGGCGGCTGGAACAAGGATTTTGATCCAATCATCGCCGATAGGGATGTTTGGATCAGTTTCTCTGGGGTTTGAGATGATTGAGGATATGAACCTCAAGCAGAAGAAACCTGAGAGAGTGTTGTAAGTCGCTTGTTGAGAGTTGAATCTGATAGAAGCGGCGTTCTTGAGAATTGAAGCGAAATGGCGCATTTCAGGAGGAATGTGGTTGAGAGAGCTGCATATTCTGTTGATAACTGTGAAAACCATCTGTTTGGCGCGGTGAGAATCGGCAGCGGCTGGAGTTTTGAGTTGAAGGTCTCCTTTGCTGTAGATATACATGACAACGCGGTTGAGGAACTCGTTGTAGTATTTGCGGCCGAATTTCTGGAAGAAAATCTTGAACATATTCGTAAGATGAGAATTTCCTCTGAGAACTGTATTATGTTGAAGTTCCGGAGCCGAGAACTCAATTCCTGCAAGCGTAACAAGCAGGTTGCTGACATGTCCGGCGTAAGAGAAAATGTTGAAAAATGCTTCAGCGAGAGGAAGGCAGGATGCGACTCTGGAGACGTTGAAATGTGTAAGGGCGCGTAACAAGAGTCTGTCTGGGCTCAAAAGAGCTTCGTTGAGGGCAACAAGGATCAAATCCGGATAAGGACCAGAAGTATTGCTAAACATCAATGGAAGAGGAACGACAGGATTTTGCATGCATGCAGCCCAGCGTTCATTAAGCTCAGGATCGTTAGGAATGAATCTTTTGAGTAATTCGCCGTTTTTGTCGAAAACTTTTACAGTCTTTTTGGAACGCGATAAGGCAATCGAACCGACATCGAATTCTGACTCTGGGATCAACTGGCCGTCCCTAATCTCGAACATGTAGAAATGATTACGTACATCGAGCAAGGCCCAGAAATTTCGATCCTCTTTGAGGAGCCTCCTCTTACGGTGGCAGACGCAACAAGCTTTCAAAACGGTAGATTTAAATATATTGTCAGGGGAGTATTCTGCAGGAATTAAATTCGTTCCAATCCACTTTAAGACGTTTGTAGCTTGGGGGCCGCTGTTTTTAAGCAGAAGTTCAACGAGAATGAAAGTAGCTGTTTTAACGGGTGGCGTTGGGTGCAAAATTCTTGGCGGATACATAGAAAGACCCTGCCAAGCATCGCCCTCGCTGTATATTCGTATGAATTGTTGAACGAATTCTGTAAGTTCAGGTGATGACTGATTTCTATTTCTTAATTTGTCACTGATAAGGTTACGCATTTCAGTAGTGTATTCTTTTCCGTCTAATTTGAAAAGTGAACGATCCATGTTTGCTATGAGCTCGTCTACCTTCAAATTTTCTTCATTCTGTAATTTTTGGAAATTGTAGAAGTGCGCCGTGCCAAGAGAAAAAGGATCTTGAGTTTTGGATGGATCAAGGGTTTTAGACCGGTATTTACGTGGTACTTCCGGACCATTACTATCGCCTTCTGTCATTATCGGAACAAATTAATGTCACTTTTATGAAGCATTTTATCCGAGAATAAAAATACATCACACATTTTATATCTATACATGGCACGGCGCAAAAAGTGACAAAATAGAATACCTATGGTGGCAAGACAAAGGAAACATTTTTGTAAGGCAAACATTATATCAAATACCTTTACTTTGTAATAAGAAATATAATTATCACGAAATTACAAATAAATATTGTTTAATATAATTAATAGCAAAATTGTTTTTTATTATTTCCCTTAAGACCTTACTTATTAAGTATACGTATAACAAACTTGTACTGCATGTATTAGTTAATAGAACAAAAGAAAATGAGCTCAAATGAAAAAAATTTTCATGCTATTTTGGAAATATGCATATTCGAAGTATGAGAGTTGTAAACACTGAGAATTTTAAGCTTTGGTTGATGATAGTCTTTAATTTTTCTTGAAGTAGGAAATTATTTGATATGAAAATTTAATGGCCAGCATAATCAATCGTGCGTTTCGTTTCTTGATTGAGAAACGATGATTGTGTGCTAATGAATTATTGCGTCTGACAGGTTATGATTATGGATACCTGAAATTAAGCTTTTATGGGAAACATCACCGAGCGCCATTTGGCGCCCCTAATGCTGTTTCTATCGGTATGATTAAGGAGCTTTCTTATGCACTTTCATCACTTGAACTTGAACGCTACAAGATATATGAAGGTAGACGAGCTCATAGCAAACATGGATCGTTCACTTTTCAAATTAGACGGAATTTTAATAGATGTTTAAGAAGTAAATTTATTAATAACGATATTTCATAGTACAAAATGTGTTCAATCTCTTCGTAAATCATTCAAAAAAATCAAAAGAATTTCCAAAATTCAATTTTTTTAGTAAAATTTATATCTTTTTCTATCGTCTCCTCCCCACCAGTGGAAGCCACCGGAGGCGCGGGCGGCGCCGCTGGTGCCAAAAAAGTAGCGCCCATCGTGCCATGTATATTTATATCACATAATATATCTCATAAAATTTGAAGTAGCAACTTTTTGGGAATTTGTAAAGTTCTCATTCTGAAATCTCAAAAACTGAAATCGACAAATTAATTTGTTGATATGAGCTGAGCATTGAAAATTACAAATTTATGCGTTTTTTCATGATGAGCAATTTGTGACAAATTTACACTCTGCGTTCCTGAAAATTTAAATATCATATTAAATAGATAGTAATGAGTATTTTTGGAACAGAAAAACTCATTAAAATCTTGTAAATTTAGCGAAATTTATAACAAAAATTAATTAGATTTTAGATTAAATCTCCCTTATACAGAGGAAAAACAAATACTAAGTCAATTTTCTGGACAATTGTTTCCGGATTGAATCAAGAAAACTGTTGACTATTTATTTCACATATATTACCTATTCATTATGCTAGATCAGAGCAAGACAAGCTGTTTCATTGATATAAATCTTCAAACAAATGATAAATTTGCTGGAGATTGAATACATATAATTGCATCGATTAATTTTAATACTCACCCAATATGCCAATCCAGTAAGCTTCATATATTGATAACCTTGATTGATATTTTTACCATAAAAGCATAATTTTTTAAAATATTTCTTATTTTATTGATTCACTTATGAATTACAAATAACTATTACAAGTAACTAAAACATTAAGCTATTCAAAATCAGCTATCTCCTGAAAGATTTAAAATGAATTTTCTCGATTCATCTATTTCTCGGAATAAAACATTGAATGTTATTGTCCTAAAAATAATCCAAGTTCATAAACAAATAAAATATGACTTATCACACCGAGTGGATGTTTATCTGTTTGCAATATTATTCGGACTTGCCTAACAAATAAACCAATAAGTATAAATAAGTAATAAACAAAACAGGATTCAAGTTTTGTTAATTAATTATTTCTTAATTTGACTAAAAGAAACAAGTTTCTGAAACAAATAATGGTTATCAGAGCAGACATACACTGAACGATTCATATATCAGAGACCAGTATTTTCGAATTCTTTTGATTGGGGAAAACCATCTAAACTCGATAAAATTTTATATATTAAGTTTTTATCGGCGCGCAGCATGGCGGCACGCCGACAGAATGTGTGAGTGGATATTTCAGCTTTTCCTTGCATTCAATGAAATTAAAAGAACTTTGGGGAAAAATATATACAAATTTAACTTATAACTTTGTCATGCTTTTAAGATACGCATCTGGATGAAAATCTTATTTATTTAGACATTTCTGTTGTTGTCATGCTATTTTATATCTACAGACTTAATCAAAATGCATAAATTAAATCCGAAATCTTTGTGATCAATGTTTTCCAACATATATAATATAGCATTTATTTTCCCCAATGAATTTTTAAGATATTTTATATAATATAAAAATAGATATGACGTTTAAATTTTTTTATGTCTAATCAAGGCACTCTTCCAAATAAATACAGTGAATTGCGAAGTATATATAAATACTACATAGATTCATATAATGCATTGTATCAGCTGAAAACTGAAAGTGAAGAAAAAATAAACAAGATTTACACGATGATCAAAACAGAATTGATTGATTCAAAGTCACATCTTCCTTATAATATTATGAATGACATTTTATTTATCATCCCGTATAATAATCGCTATTTAAAGCCTTATTTATCTCTTGCCAAACTCATATATGATAATTATCAAGTAAACGATAAAATTAATGCTCCATTACGTGGTAGATACCTATTTTATAAAGAATATGGAATTATTTTAGACAAATCTATTGATTACGATCAATTTAACTCAGAAAATCGGGATATTCATACAGAAAATACTGTTTACAGGGCAATTATGTATAATGACAAAGAAAAATTCATCTATTTCATTGAAAGCGAAGGATTTGATAAAGATCAAAAACTTGAAAGCGATTTATATCCATATTCTGAAAAAGGATTATCATTACTTGAATTATGTTGTTACCATGGAGCAGTTGATTGTTTCAAGTTATTAAGAACTAAATTTAAGTCAGAAATAACTGATGTATGTCTAGTATTCTCATTTTTAGGGGGAAATCAAGAAATCATGATGGAATGTTTGAAATATCAAAAACCTGATAAAGAATGCATGGAGCATGCAATTATTTCTCACAACATTGATTTTGTTACATTCTTGATGAATGAATACAATATAGAGATCGATTTAAAATACTGCGGAGTTTACAATAATCTTGAATCCTTTTTAGTTTATTTCGATCAAACTAATGATTTTAACCAATACTTTATTAATTCAGCGAGGTTCAATATTCCATCCTTGCTCGAATACTTCATTTCACATGGTATAAATATCAATGAAAAAGATAATGATGGACAAACTGCTCTTCATAATGCAGCAATTACAAATAGTAAAGAAACAGTCGAATTTCTTATTTCACACGGTGCAAATATCAATGAAAAAGATAATGCTGGGGAAACCGCTCTTCATAAAGCAGCAATTATGAATAGTAAAGAAACAGTCGAATTTCTTATTTCACACGGTGCAAATATCAATGAAAAAAATAATGCTGGGAAAACCGCTCTTCATTTGGCATTAATTTGTGAGAGTAAAGAAACAGTCGAACTTCTTATTTCACAAGGTGCAAATATCAATGAAAAAGATAATCATGGGGACACCGCTCTTCATAAAGCAGCATTAATGGGTTGTAAAGAAACAGTTGAACTTCTTATTTTACAAGGTGCAAATGTCAATGAAAAAGATAAATTTGGAAATACTCCTCTTTATAATGCAGCATTTTCGGATTATAAAGAAACAGTCGAATTTCCTATTTCATTGGCTTCAATATACTTTGCATGTTTTTGATTTAAAATAATTGAATTTTTTTTATTAATATATAAGAACTGAGAAAGAAAGGATAATATCTTTCTCGAAAAAAATCAAAATCAAATAAAAAATAAAAAATTTAAGCTCCCAAATAAGGTTTGAGCTTGAATTCGAGAGTTTCATAACCTGCTTCTAACTCGTGCTGCATCATTGTGAAAATTGGCTTTGACAAGATATATTTAGCGTGCAATTTGAGTCCTTCCTGGTTTGTCTTCAAGAAATCTCTGAAAATCTCTCTCAACTTGTCGTAGTACTGTCCTTTCTGTCCATCATTGAGGAAAACTTCAGCCATTTTAGATGGACCTTCGTTGACTTGCACCATGAGATTACCGTGCAACAATTGCTGCACAGTCTGGTAATCGGCAGCCTGTATTGCATTCTTCAGCATTGCAACTCTTGCGCTCAAAGAATTGCAAGTAACTTGGATTGGACTGTACTCGATTTCTTCGACTCTTTCAACCAAAACTCTTTTAGTTGCACAAGGCATTGCAGTCTTTGGTGTGAAAATGACTCTTCTCAAGCATTGTGTCGCGACATTTCCTTGTGATTTACCATCTTTCGTGAAAGGAATGTCCAAATAGAACTTCATCAAATTGTCATTTTTCTCGAAATCAGTTTTTCTGTATCTCATTTCTGACTCATCAATCAAAGCTTCAACAGATGTTGGCTGTATATAGATCTTGTTCTTGTCAAGTTTGGACTGAACTACTTTACTGGATTCCATGATTGTCTCTACAGCACCGTATTTCTTCGAATATTCATCATTCAATCTGTTCGCGAGATTGTAAACATTCGTCAACAGTTTTTCTCTGTAGATATAAGTTTGTCCATCTTGTTTTCCAAGTTTTGCACCGAAGAATCTAACTCTGTAGTATCTTCCGAACAGTCTGAGTTCTCCTGGTTTGCAAGCAGCCAGTTTCTGCGACGCTGTCTGTGCGAGTTTGATGAGATTCGATGCAGCACCAAAGAAAATGTCACTTTCCAAAATCGGAACAACGTATTCTGAAACTGCAATTGCGACTTCGTAGTATGTTTTGTCGTTTGCAACTGTGATTATTTCAGTTGCCAAGTTGACAATGGAAGAGATGCAGAAGAAAGGAGAATCGCAGAATCCATTGATCTTCAAATCTTCCTTGTAATTACACTTGATGTCGTTGTAATTCTGGCAAATGGATTTGAAGTTCGATGATCCGAAAACATTCTTGATTTTGCTCTTCAATGATAAGTTTTCTGCAAGAACGCAAAGCATCATCGACTTGACTTGTATTTCTTCTGCGAAATAGTCGTACTTGTGATGATGTTCCGCTAACTCTTTCAGTGCTAAATACTGAGCATCAGGTGAATACCTAACAATCAATGCTCTCGTGTATAAAATGTCACCTTTTTCTTCATTATTTTGTTCGAAACCTCCTGTGAAATACTCCTTGAGAAGAGCTTTGAACTTTTTTCCTGAAGGTTTAGTAGAAGTAAGTTTGTCAATGTCAGAATCTGTCACTTTTTGAATTAAAGGCAAAGCTCTGCAAACGATACAATTTGATCTATCGTTTGATTTGTAGTTTTCCAAATCGCTTTCGAAGATTTCTTCTACGATCTTGTAAGCGTTAGGGAAGTAGACAGATAGCTCGATGATTCTTGCGACAAACTTTGCAAGGGGAGGAACACTTTGTTCGAACATTATTTTTGTCTTTTTGTTGATAAGTTTCATGACAACTTCAATCATTGAAGGAATTGCCTGAACAACAACATCAGTGCACAAAAGATGGTACACGCAAAGACTCATGTCACTCAAGTGCTCATCATCGATGACTTCAATCAGCAAGTTCAATGTGTTGATGACACTTTTATGGCAAGCAGCAATGATTCTTTTTTCAATTTCAGCGGAAATTACGTCTTTTGGAGGGTTCATTTTTCCTTTGATGTAGAAACTGCTGCCTTTGTCATTTCTTATATAAACACTGCCAGAACGAGTCTTCTCTTCAGCAGGTGCTGTGTTTGGTAATGACTCTGCTTTTGGTGGTAATTCAACTTTTGTTGCGTTGTCACTTTTTGCAATTGATTCACCACTTAAATCGCTTTGCATCAGAGGAGAAGCAGATATTTCCATTTCGTTCTGATGGAGTATAGAACCATTGGGATCTGGTGTTTCCGACAGAAGTTTGATGTCGTCATTCGAATAAGCGGGTGGCAGTTTCTTCAATTTCTTAAATGATCTCTGTCCTTCAGTTTTTTCTTTTGTTGCAGAATTTGCTGAAGAATTGTTGTATTGCCTCTCAAGTTTCTCAAGGTTGTTCATCCTGTCAACAGTGCCACTGCCTAAATCAGTGAATTTGCGCTTGGATGATGAGTTTTCTATCAAAAAGTGAAGTGACTCAAAAAGTGCCGGCTTATTTTCAAATGTCTTGAACCATTCTGAGAAAACATCGCTTTCCATGTTATCCAATAAGAAAACGGAGAACAGGATGGCGTAGTATGACTCACTTGTGTTTGCGAAAGGTAGTTTGGACAAAGGATTCAAATAAGTCAAACAGGATTTGAGGAGTTTAGCCATTTTTCGACATTCTTGGCGATTGAATGATGAAATCATCGTCAAAAATGTGAAATAAATGTCTTGCATAGGTAAGGAATCACTGTTTTCTGTGGCAAATTTGACACATTTTTCGACAGTTTTAATTGTCATTTTTTGTATCAACATTTTTAGGAAAATGTGGGGTGTTTCGTTGTCACTCTTGTAGAACTTCGGACACCAGACTGAATCAAGGAAACGTGCCAGAATTGAGTGGCAATCAGTGTCACCTTTCCACATATTTTTAGTCAATTCCTCGAACACTGCGTCTATTGCTTCACAGACTTTGGAGACCATTCCTATAGAGCAGAGTGCAACTAAGAATCTCGCAAGGGAGTTGAGTAAATCAGAGGCAGCATTCAAACCGTTTTTAACCGTTTTTGCTGCGAAATTTGCGATTGATTTTGACAATTCAATCAAAACATCACTTATATCTTTTTTGTCTTTGTTTTGGATGCACGATTTGGTTGCGATCAAGAAAAGCATATCGCAGTTGATGACATTGATCTTAGTGTTCACTTTCTCGCCACCGCTCTTCTCGAAGTGTTTTCCGTACGATGTCAACAAAATGTCCAAATCAACGGTTTTACTGAATTCCATTGCGTATCTGTTCATGAAGGAATCCATGGCTGGGAAGATTGGGGAGATCATCTCTGTGATGAGGAATAACTGGTCGAGGAAGAAATCAGGGTTATCGTTGAAGTTCGTGAAGATAACGTCTAAGATTATTAAAAGATATCTCTTAACAAGCTTTCTGTCGACGTTTGCGAGTGATACTGATCCCTTGTTATTAATGAACTGGTTTAGTGTTGTATCCGGTGGCATAATTAACGATCTCGTTGAGACTTCCACTGTAACATGATTTTGATCAATCGGAACTTTATCGGATTGGCCATTGTAGATGACGGGGAGGTCTTGTACGCCTTCAGCAATGTATTGACCGTCTTTGTTCGCAAGAGGGAGCTCGCACCAGCCGATTTCTGACCAGCGCTCGTAAGATGTCTGAGCAATTGCATGGTAGAGGTCGATTCTGAGGCTTGCATCGGGATCTAGGATTGGTGGTAATGAAATCGTAATAGTTTCGTTAAGAACTGGTTTCGTTTCATGATAATAACAAATTGTGCTCGTGAAAAGGTTTCTTTCGGCTTTATCTGTTACCTTTGGGTTTTGTATTGTTCCTGGCTCAAGTTTGCCGTTCGTCATTGAAAGAACGCAGATAATATTCCTTCCTTTAACTTTTGGAGGTAATTTGAGCATGATTGTCTGGATCTTGACATTCAATTCATGTCTGAATATGGTGCAAGGAACAGTATCATCGTAATCAACAGGGTGGATGAAATTATAATCATTTGAAACAATTCTCTGAGGTTGTTCGTTTTGTGCGAACGTAGCATGCATATGTATGTTGATAGGGATCTGTGGGTTACCTTTTTCTTTCATTCTCTTGATCAGTTCAGGTACATCTGAATCCGCAAACATCTTTTTCAGCAAAAATGGTTGGGGAAGATCGATTCCATCCTTTTGCTCTGCAATAGAACCGATATTGGCGTATGTATATGCGAACGGAGAGTAAATATCTTTAAGGCGTCCGAAAACATTTGCAACGGATTCTTTTGCTAAAGCCAAGTTCTTTTCGTTTGGCTTGAAATAGTAATCGTTGACGGCATCGCCGTTGTTTACCTGAAGAATACGTGAAATAATTACTAAAATTCCGGAATTTTGAGGGGTTCCATTCAAAATGAAGCCAGCTTTTTCATTAGTAATAATGTTTTCGCTTCTAGCTTTGTACATGTTGAATGTTTCGTTTGGTATAAAGTGCCATGGCTCCGAGTCAATTTTGTCATCAATTACTAAATAAGCAGTGCAAATCAATGGCTCAATGAAATGATCGTTTTTAGGGAGTTTGGTGTTCTTTAGTAAGACTATTGAATGCTTTTTCTGATTAAATTCATTAGGAAAATCTTGGAACAAACATGGTTTTGAATTATATGCTGTTTCTGCTAAAATATGTGTGGGAAATTCCATTACTTTCTCGTCAGATACAAATCCTTGAGGTAATTTATCGAATTCATGCTTGAAAAAAATTTCTTGTAAATGATCTTCGAAAAATGTTTGTTCTGCTGGCTTCAAAATCTCCATATTTTGATTTTTATCAGTAAATAATCTCAAAATAGGATTATTGGCAAATCCAGACAGCTCAACAAGCCGAGTTGAATAAGGGGTGCTTAATGAATTTTCGGATTCTTCCAGCTTTGCTAAGTTAATTGCTTTAGTATTCTCTTCCTTAGGCTGTTTTTGCTGGTTTCCACCTATATTCAGCATTTCGCCTATGGTTTTAAGGATGAAAGTCATGAAAATACAAAAAGCACTAAAAATTATAAAGAGAATTATTTCTGACAAGAATATCGGATAATCATCCTTGCAATAGTTTTAAGTAATAATAGCAATCCCTTGAAAAAAAAAGTTCAACTTTCAATCTTGACAAAAGGTTAGGTACGGCCAGATATTAAACAAATAATACATTATGTTTCACTGTTCGTTAGTGATCTTTACTTACAGTATGGGAAGATTTCTTGATGAAATTTACAATTCATAGTTTTGAATAGAAAAATGGTATTGATACAGCTAATACGCTAATAAAATTCTACAAAATTCAAAATTCGTAAGTTCAGTAAAGTGTCATTTTTATTTGACTCGCTATTCAGAGCCTATCAACTATATAACATTAAGTGTCATATAGAGCTGTATCAATATCTCAAGTCAAAAAGGCGAGGCAATTTTGAAAGCAGAATTGATAAAGGAAGATTTTAGACCGAAATGATGATTTTTTCATAGCTTATAGAATTAAATTGAATAAATTTGATCGAGATATGCATCTACTGGCTTCAAGGCAATATGAAAAATCGATTATCTCCCCTTAATTCAGAATTATAATCTTTTATTTGTTTAATTATTTAGAAAAAAATCATTTTGCATTGAAGAAATTCACACGTTATTTCTTTGATACGAACTTTCATACATTGTTGCCATGTTATTCAGATTAATTTTTTCAGATTTTATTGATATCATTTTAATTCATTAATAACAATGTGGTTGTTTAATTTAATATCGTTCATTTGAGTTGGAGACAGTTCAACCTATTTCCACTGTTATAAAGATAAAGATATTTGAGCAACTTATAAATTGCTAGGCTAGTATAATTGAATCTATAAACAGTAGCTCTAAGAAATTAATATATTTTCATCTGAAGCAATTTGCGCATTGTAACGATATTTTATATATTTAATAATTTCAAAATGGATGAAGACAATATGTGAAATAAATTTTGTTCCATATTGTAATTAGCAGATTTAAGATAAAAAGCCTCTAATTAAAATATGAAATTAGGAAATGTATGAAAACTTCAATATTCATACCATAATCAATTGAGAATTATGTTTCAATCTGCTAGATCTAATTTAGGGAATTATCAATAAATTTCTGAGTGTTCACCCGTGATGTTGAAATCTGTACTTTTGGATCATTAATTTGCAAGTTTATTACACTGCGTATAAACTTAAGAAACCGAAATAAATGGTTGACAATTGATATAACTCAATTTTTAATAATTTTATCCTTATATATAGAGATAAAGTGACAATTAATGGGAGAAATGAATCATATGTGATATATATATTAACTCCGATATCATCGTTTATGATTTAAAGATAGTAACGGAATTTATTTTTCCAATATTTGACTTTCCAGCTTCAATAATAATGATACAATCTATAAAGAACATTTTCAAATACAATAGTGATTTTTGACGAAAGATTAAAGTTCTGAAACTGTTTATCGATCATTATTCATAATGTAGAGCTCTATTATGATTCTACAACATTTTTCCTCTGTCGGATAATTCAAATAGAAAATTAAAGAGAAGGCACCCGCAGAAATAAACGAATGAATATTTTGGCGCAAAATTTTTTACATAAGTTAATTATAACATCTTCCTTGATAAAATGGTTAAAAATAAAATTCGTTGATATACCATTTTTTCACAGCATTTCAAAGAACTTTTCAAACCTTTTCAAAAGAGTTTTATACAAAACTTCAACATAATCAATCCTCTAATATATACAATAAAATAATCAAAATGAAAAACAATATAAAAATCCCGCCAAAAAAAGTTAAACAATAATGCAAATATTCATAAAAACATCACTAGAAACATTTTTTACTCTTACATTAATAACATCAAAGAAAATTCGGAGATTAATTTTAAATGAAATTTATTACTAACGTATTTAAGAATTTATATATGATACATCTATTCTCTATATTTTATACTTTTTGTTCGCACGTTAACGCAGAAATTCACTCAAATTATACGTTTTTTTAATCTGTTCACTAACGGACGAAACGATATATAAAAAAACGTACAATTCTTCTCAATATTTTCTACATTCAGTTGGATTTACTCATCATCCAAAGATAACTCTAATTAAATCGAAAATCAAGTGATTGAAAATCCGTTTTTTCCTTTCAATTTTTCGTAAACTAACAATTTCAGGGAACCTACTCAAAAACTGCATTTTTCCACAATGAGTGACGAGAGAATTGCCCAGTTCGAAAAGAAGTTCGATGAAATGGACACAGGCAAGGATGGCAAGATGAAGGCCAAGGAATTCAACGCTCTTTATGCCGAGCTCGAGGGCAAGGAATGCACACAGGAGGAATCAGACGTCATGTTCCGTGGCATTGATATCGATAACTCCGGCACAGTTACAAAGGAGGAATTCATGGACATGGTCAAGGCCGTTGTCAACAACGATGACCTCTACACATACAAGCTTATCTTCCGTGCCTTCGATAAGGATCGCTCTAAGGCCCTCGAATGCAAGGAAGTTATCGCTATCCACAAGTACTGCGGCAAGGAAGTTACACAGGAGCAGGTTGAAAAGTTCATGGTCGAAGAGACAGGCAAGAAGAATGGCAAGATCACATTCGCTATGCTCTACAAGCTCCTTACAGGCAAGAAGATCGCCGCTGAAACAGACCCATATGATGGCAAGCTTAAGTCCAAGTGCTGCCTCCTTCTTTAAATTTTTTAGCTAAACAGAGTTATCATATTTTTTAACGAATTTTTTTTTCAATTTACTTATCGTATTTATGACTGTTAGAAACGATCCCCCTCAGGAATTGAGGATTTCTGCTGATGAATTTCGTACACAAATACCACCTGAATTACTAGATAATCAGAGAACAAAAGGAAAAGCTCCTGTGAGTCAAGGATTTGCGTACAGATTATGGCACTTGCTTAAGTGGGCAAGTAATGACCCAATGAGGATGAATAATCTGGGTGCTAGATGGACAAGTCCAAATGAGTTTGCACTTGATAAATCTAGATATGCTGAAGTAATTAAATCACAACCTAACACAATCAACTTCAAGCTACGCTCTTGCAAATTCAACCAGAGTCAACCTAGAACATCAACATATACTTTTTGGAAATGTGAAGGTTTCACAGCACAGTCAACGGAAAACGACTTGATTGCAATTGACAATAAGAGGGATTCAAGCGAAGCATCGCCCCAATTTACGGATGAAGCATTGCATATACCTCTACTTGAGACAGTTCGCATTTATCCTCCAATCCCAGAGAACAATAACCGCTTTAAGAACGAAGCAATTTTCCTATGGGAGGAAATAGTTCCAAACCACTGCATCTGGGCTTACAGCTTGACACAGTTTATAGAAGCGGCCACAATGAAGTTCTGTGCCAGTTATTCAAAATCATCGTCTGGAGAAACTTTTACTTATGACGCTCAACAGACACAATTCTCGCAGTACTTAAAGAATTACAATTTAGACCTACACGATACTGCTAGAAAAATGCTTACTTATGTATTAACCCATAAAAATACGTATTGCATTACAATTCCAGAATTCTGCACTTTCTTCGCGCGTTTCGGACCCGACGATAGTGTACTGGAAAAGATACACCAACTTTTATGCTGCTCTAAAGCGTATAATGATTGGTTCAAGCCAGTTGAACAGACATTTGACCTTCACAAGCCAATTACAGGGTGTTATTCGAATACATTTGCAAACTGCTTCATAATCAAGCGTTCACAAGGAATAACCTTTCATGTTTACAATCAACCTTTCTTCCAAGGTCCGGTTGGCTTCTTATTTGATGAGTCAGATAAGAACTTTAATACATGGCATGCTGTTTTCGAGATGATGAGCTGCCAACAGATCCAATATCAGGCAAATCCAGCTGATATGGATATTTCCGTTTTCAATTACCAGAATATTGTATAGTTCCTTTATATAATATTCAATTTGTGTAAGATTGAAGATCATTTTGTTTTTTAAATCTATATGTTACTTATTTCGAATTTCTTTTTCACAACAACTCAATTATTTTCTATATAGCATTGTGTATTCAATGACACATATCATTTGTATGAATGTTATTAGGGATACCAATAAAACAATAATGCTCGACCGTTAATTATTATCTTCATTTGGATTAAATCATTAATTTCCATTTATAGTATCTAATTGCAAACACAATTGGAAATACAAAGATTGGCTATATCATGGTGCGGTAATAATTGTTTTATGATTTTATGGATTTTATCAATACAAGCAGGCTGACCATTTACCAAAGAATCCTTATTAAAAGATGGAAAAAGGTATTATCATTTATAAAGAATACAAACAAAGTTAAATTTTATTTATAAGGTGAAATATATTGAACGGCACTAAGTAAATCTGGGATCTTATATGGATCAGAACTACCTACAGTGTCGTTTCTAACAATTGTAACAGGTATAGCTTCACGCCATATCGGCTGATTCTTCTCTACTTCAACGCAAGGATTCATTTGTGGGTGAATCGAATCAAGCAATAATTCTATATTTCTGCGGGTTAATTGGCCAAATGCAATAGAAAATGAGATTTCGAAGTCAGTTGTATCGAAAACAAAGTTCTTTGCTAAGAGCATTCTTAGCTGTAACAATTTATCTTTCTCTTGTTGAGCAATCTTTTCTCCTAAAAGTGGTAAACATAAGATATCAGGACGTATTCCGCCTTTTACAGCATTTCTTGAAGTATTTGCAATACAAACAGTTAATGATTCTTTGAGTTGCTTGTCATCAAACTTGAAATCAATCTGTTTGGCTTGATTGGAAATATCAGATAAAGATTGACTTGTTTTTGGCATTGCAAAGTTAAATGTAACGTGTCTCAACTCTCTATTACCAGATGACAACTGCGCGGAGTCATCTGATGAATTGGATAGACTAGATGTTCTTAATACGTTTGAAGGCCTCATATTAACCAAAGGAGGAGGAAGAATTGGTTGAGTTGAAATGCTATGGTGCATTTCTAATATTGAATCATCGTCAACTGAGTTATCTTCATTAGATGCAACTTCTTCTTTGTCTCCACTCGAATCTGGTGGAGAGATAATATCAACATCTTCATGATTATTATCTAATTGAGGCATTACGCTGATGTTTCTTGGCTTTTCTTCCTCTTCTTCATCTGAATTTGAACTTTCAAGTTGAATTACGAATTTACTTGTCTTAACTGAAGGACTTACAAGGATACTGCTTGGAATCGACATAAATTGTTCGCTTCCACTAGAATATTTTGAGATCAAAGTATCTTCTGTGGGAGACTTACCTCCTTTGTCATCATTCTGAGGGATCTCAAGCTTAACAATAGGAACCCGCTCTGGTTCCTCTTCTTCTTCCGGAATATCAATCTTGATTGGAATAATTTCTGGGATTTGCTTGGTATCATCTTTACTATTTTCTTCTTCATGGTGTTCTTCTTCAGGAACTTCATGTTCGTTTGGCTTTTGTTGTTCTTCAGATTCAATTTTTTCTTCTTTTTCGATAACAACAAATTCTTTAAGCTGATCAAATGAAGACTTAACCAAGTTATCAACGATGCCATCAAATAAATCAGGGAAATCTTTTTCTTTGATCTTCAAGTGCTTCTTTTCAGAACTATGCTTGTAATGACTGATAACATCTTTAATTGCATCAGTTGTCTGACAAATAGCATAGTTAGCCGCAGAAATAATTGCAGTTTGAAGTGATTCTGATAAAAATTCGTCTTTTGTCTGGCCAATCGGAATCATTTCGTATCTTTTAGCAGTTGCACATACTAATATATCGTTAATAGGAGTTAAACAGTCATCAAAGCTTGATTTAATTACAGAATCTGTCATTTCTTGAATTGTGCAATCAAAGAACATACCAAAGTCCTTTATTGTTGATGTTAAATCGTGCTCTTCTGGCTTTTGTTCATTATTTTCTTCTTCTGGTGAAATGTTTCTTTCTTTTGGAGGAAGAACAATTTCTTTGGGAAGAGAATAAGAATCTTCGCTTGATTCACTAGATACACTTGCATTATCTTTCGTTTCTCCATCTTTCTTCGGAGAAGATTTGGATTCCAAATCTAATTTCTCTTCTTTTTCATTTTCTTTCTGCTTATCATCATTACTTTCATGATTGTTTTCATCTACTTCATTCGGTTTTTCATTATTGTCTTCTTCCTCCGCGGAATTCTGTTGATCGTTCGTTTTCATATTGAATTGATCGAGAGAATCAACTGCAAGCATTTGCTTATTCAACATATCACACATATCATTCTCCAGATTCTTGGAAATTTGAGAGAATAATTCGTTATCATCAAATTTAAGATTTTTAGAACTCTGATCGTCTTTGGAAGTCTTATCTGCAAAATTCTTTATGGGTGAGAGGAGAGCATTTAATGCTCCAATTATTTTTTCCTTCGTTGAATTTTGAATTTCAGAATTATTTTCAGATTTTTCTTCTTTAGGAGCAGGATCTACTGTTTCAACTGTAGTTTCTATTGTTGTTGTAGTTGTTTGGTCTTCATTTTGAGATTTTGACTTCGATTTCTTCTTCTTTTTACGAAGACTCTGAGTTTCATTGGTTTCTGGTGTTTCTTTAACAGGAGTTAACTTCTTTGGTGTGGAATCCACTGATTTATTCCGTTTTTTATGATGTTTGTGCTTTTGTGGAATATCCATCGTTGAATAATGATTTGGAGAAGTTTCTTCTTCTTGTGTTGGATACATCTTGGTTTTTCTTTGTCTTTGTGGAGTTTTGGCGTGCTTCTTTTTCTTCTTTGGAGGAGATTCAGGTTCATCTTCTTTAATTTCTTCTCCTTTTGTTACAGAATCAATTGAAATCAAGATATTATCAGTCTGATTCTGTAACAAAAATTCTAACTCGTCGTTAAGCATTTTTTCCAACTCATTTTGAATTTCATCAACTTTTTGTTTCTTTGATTTCTTTTTCTTTGGAGATTTAACATTTGGCATAGGAAGAAACGGAGGAAGTTTCTTAGTTGCACTGCTTGGATTTTCTTCTTCTTGGACTTTTCTTTTCCTTTTTACATGAGGAGAAACAGAATTTGCAAATCTTGGCTGAGGAACATGGACAATTGGAGTACACAAATCCTCTGAAATACTGTCAAAGTAGCCTTTGCCGCTTTTGACGCTTTGTGGAGAATTATTTAGATCTCTTGATTTTACAGAGATTTGTTCTTCAGAATTGTTATTAGGAACATCTTGATATTCATTGTTTTTATGCTTTTTGATCTTCTTTCTTTGTGGTGTTGGATTATTTTTATCATTTTCTTCAGAAACGTTCGAAATCTTAACTTTCTTGACTTTCTTCTTCTTTGGAGATGAAGTAGATGTATTGTCTGTAGTAGAAACATTATTTTCTTGAGATATCTGAGGAATTTCTGGTATTTTCTCAAATTTCTCAAGATTTCTAGCAGACATCTTGATAAAATCAAACATTGATGCTGAAAATCCAACTTTTGGACGATATAAATTTTGATAATTTTCGATATCTTGAATTTTTTGAGATTGTACAATTGTGTTGAGCGTTTTCATGCTGTCAAAGTCAGGTTTAGTTACAAAATCATCGACTTTTGTTGAAATGGTTGGAGATACAATCAAATCCATCGTAATGTTGGTTTCAATTGATTGTAAGTAGGATAATCGTGAATACCATAAGGAAAATGATCTTTGCAACAAGTAAATTCTCGATTCTTCTTTTTCTTTTTCATTAACGAATTTTACTAATTTTTCTTTGAGATCGATAAAGCGTTTGTAGTTTATGTATTTCTTAGACTTACTACGAATTCTCTGTAGCTTTAGTTTTGTCGTAAAAGCAGTCCATTTTGATAGATTTGAATGAGTATTTTTTGGAATGTTTATCGGAGATTTTTGACATAAATCCATCAAAGATTTCCATTTCATAAACTTTTGCTTCTTTTTATCCAATAATTTATTTCGCCATTTGTTCAAATACTTTTTATAAAGGTATTTACTAGCTGTTGATTGTTTACGTGGTATTTTCTTAACTTTTTTGCTCTTAACTTCTTTGTCATTTGTAAAAAAATTCCAATAATCTAAATTTGAAATTCCACTTCTCGATGATGAGTCTGAAATGATGGATATATGAGACTTTTTGTCGAAATGAGAATGACTTGTAACTAATTCATGCTTTTGTTTCCATTTTCCAAAATATAATTTCATATAAAAAAGTTGAATCTTCTTATAACCATCATGAAAGAGTTTAACTTGAGAAAATTGTTCTCGCTTTTCTAGTAACTTATATCGATTAGTTATCAATCTCCATAATACTTCGTGATATTCTTGAGTCGCAACAGATCGATATATCTGATTTAGTTCAGACACATCAAATGCCTGATAGGAAGATTCTGTTAATGCTTGGCAAAGATCATCTTCAAATATGAAAATTCCCTCTTTGCGTAGCATTTTTTACCTGAATTTTTTCAAAAATCTGAAATTTTATAGGATTTATTAAGTATATAAAGCACTCATTCAATTATAAATAAATTTCAAAAGAAACTGTTCTCAAAAAATCGTCAACTCCTGGAAAATGAAAAAAGATCTCAAAATCACATGGCACTGAAAGCATCTGAACATTCAAATCTAACAAGCTAACGTCGAATTTTAAGTTCCCCAATGTTTAAATAAATAATAATCAGATTTAGAACTAAATTTCCATGAATTTAGAATAAAATCTCAAGAACAGGAGGATATTTACTAAGGTAACATGAATGACAATTTCAAAACAGTATAGAATCTTTATAATTATGGTAAAAATAATTTAAATTTTGAATGAATAATTTATAAATAACATACAAACATAATATATATAAAATAACAATATAATTAATTACTCTCGAATTGCATTCCAATATAAGAATGCAAGACATATAATTGCTTCTCAACAGGTCTTATTGGCTGGAATTTGACGTAAGGAGTTGTATTTTCCAGCTGTTGATAAGCATTTTCATACAAAACTAATTTTCCTGGTGGAACAATGTCAATAAAATCATAAGTTTCGACCAAAAGTTTTGACAACATGTCGAAAACTGTTTTAGATATTCCACACATCAAACCATAAACAGGACCACCGTAATTGATAATTCCTGAAAGGAATGAATGAAATTCAAGTGATTTATTGATAGATGCCGCGCATTCAGAAGCGAAATGAGCCAAAGAAGTTACAGAATCATTTGGTTTTTCTTCAACGAAAAATCCAGAGACGTAAATGAAAACACCATTAAAAGTTCTTATCCTATGAATATTTGGATAATTTTCTGCAATTCTATCCATTATAGACATAGCAATTTCCGTAATATCAGTCACATCCAATCTACTAACTTTAGTACCAATATCTGTTTGTCTTTTCAATGTAATAGACATAACAGCACAACCTTTACAAGTGAAATAATTCGGCATCTTGTTTTCCATCATCATATTCGCTACAGGAGAAGGAACTAATCTCTCAAGAAATATTCTAACTTTCTTATCTAACAATGTAACTTCTTGTTTCAGTTCCTCAATTCTCGATTGATTTCTCATCAACAAACCAAAAACTAAATTTCCATTATGAGAAATCGGAACCAAAAACGAACTAAAATTAACTTCATTTCCTTCTTTTGTATATGCTTTAATATTAAACTGATGTTTCGCACGAATTCCTAATGGTGTATACATTAATTTAATGTAATCAAACATTTCTTTGTTTTCTTTTTTGGGAATGATTTTATGGACTTTTTCATTTAAAATGTCTTCTCTAGTGAATCCAAGTTGTGCAGTTATTTGCTTGTTCATGTCAATGATATTATTCTCACTGTTAAAGAATAAAACAGGATCAAACAACTGCGAAATGATTGTGTCAGAGAATTCAACCAAATTTATTGATTTTTTGTCATTTTGCGCTCCAGGAGTAAAAGAATTAATCATAATTGATTCTGTTGGAGAATACTTCGAATGCAGGACTAATACAAGTCTTCTTATATCTTTCATTGTGTGTTTGAACACTGTTGTATATCTATAATACAAAACAATGAAAATTAAAATCAAAATAAAAACTAAAAACCAAAAAATTGTTTCTGTTTCTCTTGCATAAGTTAGAGAAGAATAAAGTTGTTTCGTCTTGTAATGATCAACAATAAAAGAACTTGTAGATATTGTTATATTAGTAATAATAGATAATTTCTCTGAGAAACTGTAATTTTCAAGATTTTCAATGAAATTATTCCAAATTAGAATAATTTTATCGAGCTCTGTGTTGTTTTTCTCAGTGTAATTAACCTTCTGTGGTATATTGACATAAATTGATGAATTACCAGTGATGTTCGATAACATGCTGCTGATTTCTAAGAACAAATAACTCGATTTGTTGAGTAAATGTTCAAATTCAACACTTTTCGTGGAAATATCAACAACAGATGCCGAAAAATAATAAATAACAAAGAAACAAATAACATACCTAAAAATAAATATGAAGACGATGTAAACAAAAAGTGTCAAGTTTCTGGCCGGATCGAAAATGGATAATTGGATTGGCATTTTAAGGGATTTGTCAATGAGTTCAGTGTAATCATTCATGTCATCGAAATTCTGCTGGTAATCATCTGCTTCTATTTCTTCTAAGTCTAATGCGCCGTCATCGTTCAATTCGTGGTCTTCTGTTCGATATGAAGGCTGGTGATGTATCTGTACGTAAAGGGAAGACCTGAATTCATCAAGAGTTTGGGTCTCTATCGCACTAAAAACGTTTAATGCTTTCCGAATTCCAGATTTCGCACTATACAACAGACATATTGCCACGAAAACCATTAAAACAATGGTAGCAATGGTCGTATGCACAATGTGATTCGTCCTTACCTTCATTTTGATTGAAGATGCGCAGTCAATGTATCTATCAATTAAAGGAGTGAACAAACCATACATATATACGAGGCTTTGATGTCCATCCTGCAAGGCCTTCCAGTAATAAGGGTCATCTTTCGTTTGTATGAACAATTTCGAACAAAAATTATAAAATTTTTCTTTGAAATTGATCAATTCTGAGCTTTCTACATTGATAACCCTCTGATTGTCTTTGGGACACTTCGCTACATTGAGATATTGTGCTAAAATGTGATATCCGATCCATTTGTACTTTGATGGCAAAGAATTGTTTCCTAAAGTGTAATTCATTGAATTTAGGAACCATTCGATGTTCACAATAGTATAATACGACTTAAAGAAGGAAGGAGAGTGCATGTAATTGAAGAAAGCATCAGGAATGAACTCAATAGAATTCGTATATTTGTACATAGTCATTGGAGGGAAGAAAAGATCAACTATTATACATAAAGAAAGGAATTTGAAGCACATTAATGACGTATCTGATGTAGAATCCAAAGCTTTTTGATTCATAATCTTTTTACTGAATTCGTCTTGAGAATCTGACTCATAACCTAACGTGTTCGATGATACAATGACTTCTGGCTTCATTTCTCCTGTTTGAATCAAAGATCCTTTCAAATTTTGAACTTTTTCGTTGATTTTGTTGATGAGAACATGATCTCCAGCACATTTATACAGGTAATCACTGAACATAAACAGCAAATCCTGTGATAAAGGTGTTGATGAAACAGAATAGTTGCACATCTGTTTGAAACTGTGGGACATCAATGCGAAATTGACAATGAGATTGTATTTGTACTTGAAATACTGTGAATCGCAAAGAGAATTTGAAAAAGCGTATAATGCGATTTTTGTCTTCAGTTTTTCGTTTTGAAGGAAGCTGATTCTCTCGGATATGTCTATTTCTGATAATCTGTACTTGTTCATTTCGTATTGGAGCTCACACAAGAAGTGTTTTGCAGAAATTGACAATTTCTTAATATCTATTTGGAAAAGCTTCTCACGGATCCTGTGTGGTATTGATGAGCTGATCATAAGCATTTTGGCGCATTCTATTGTCAACTCTTCACTTCTATCTGAATCAATTGCTGCAATTAGCAGAGAATGGAGATCTTCGTAGTCAGTAACTAACGCAAAGTGTAGAAGAGACTTATGACGAGGTTCTGAGATGTTCGGAAGCCGAATATAGTTAAAATCATCTCCATCAGAAAGATTTCCCAAATATTTGTCAAAAGAACGTTGGTAAAATCTACATCCGATAGTGAAAAACACATGGGAGATGAAAGAATTCCATATTGGATAAGTAATGAAAAATGACAAAATCATGAAGATTAAACTGATATGTCCGGCATAGTAGGATATCTCTAGTGTTAGATATGTTAATGAAACACCGTAGATCTCAAAACCGTAAGAATTTGAGAATTTTGTAAAATATGGGAAGGAAAAGTTCCAAAAAAGCAGGCAAATAGAGGCTAACCAGCTCAAACCTAGGCATGGAAATATTCCTCTGGCATAAACCTTTCGAATTGCCCATGTTTGCTGAACAAGATTTATAACTAAGTTGACATAGAAGAAATGCAAGTGTTTCCAGAAAGAGTAGCATGGAGAATCCCTTTTTGTAATACTATAATGGAAAAGCGCACCAATGAAAGTGTAAATATTATATATAATAAAGGAAAAAATGGCAGAAGATAAATAAAAATAAGGCTGTTCGCCGAGAATAAGCTTTTCTATGTAATGCCACATGCATGATGCTGTATAATTCACTAAAACTGGTGCCAAATCTTGCAAAATGAAACAAATAGGGGCTTGTGCATGATGAAAAACCAACTGGTCACGTCTAAAGTAGTAATATGTTAGATAGAGTGTGAAGAAGATCGCAAAAGCCAGTAAAAAGATAGTAAAATAGTTTGTTCCAAGAAATTCAGGTGAGATTACCTGATAAATGATGGTACCAAAAAACCTTGCATATGTTGAGTCATTGAGAGTGCTGATTGTCAATGGAAACATCGATAATTTAAAAAACCAAAATACTGGAAGCAGCATTTCAATCATAAATTTGAAAGTAGCAAATTTATCCTGCTTAGATGTGACTAAATGAAAGAAATGGAAGAAATTGCTCCATCCACGAAGATTATTCGTAATAGGGAAGCAAATTGAATCCATCTTTTTCAAAATTGTGAAAAAAAAGACCCTCAAAAATAATTCAAAATGTTTAAAAACTAATTATTTTTTATCTATACAGTAGAAAAAATCGGTCCAAATCCGTCGAAGAAAAATTCAATTCTTCTGAAAATAGCAAAATTGTTAGTTATGCTCTATGTATATTGTTAACATCAATATTTCTTATCGATTTTTTTGTAAGATTATTAAAAAGTGACGAATATTTCAAATTGTGAAAGGTTAAAAAAATGCTAGGCTGATTCCCAAACATCAAAAAGTAAGTTCCAATCATAGTAAAATATATTGGAAACTTATTTCCACATCCTAAATTTAATCAAATAGTCCAAATTTACCTTATTCTTTATATTTTAAGGCTAAAAGATAACGCATTGGCAGAAAATACATAAATATCAATAAACTATCATTCAATAATTGTTTTTTTATGTTTTACAAGATCTTCGTTTTCCATGGTTAGAATTAGAATTCAATTGCATACTGATTCCAATATTTATGCATTGATCTATGAAGGTACAAGATTTCAAGCATTACTTTTGATTAAAATTTTACCATAATTTCCTTGTTCTTTATTTCTTTTAATTAGGAAGCATTCAAAATATGTTGGATAGTAATTACCAACATATCATCCAATAAGGATGCAGTTTTGAGGACGATCTGGATTTCATTTTCAAAAAAAAAAACGAATCCGTTCTCCCAAAGGTGGATATAGTCAAATTTCAAAATATTTGGGGAGATCTATTCAATTATGACAATGTGAATAAAGAATTTCAGCTGTTTCTTTTCTATTATAAATTGCTGCAGCATGAAGAGCCGTTTTTCCATCTTATCTATTTCATTGATATTCAAACCCTGTGAAATAAAAAGCTCAGCTGTTTCTTTTCTGTTTTCCCAAGCTGCATAATGAAGAGTAGTTAGTCCATATTTTTTTTTGTATTGATACATGTACTATATGAGATGCAATATTCATAAAGGGAAGGAATAAACAAAACATTTGCTAACATATCATTAGTCTGTATGAAATAAAAATGATTCAAGATTATTACAATCTACATAATTCTTTAAATTGATCTATACATATTACTAATTCTTCAAGAATGCTGCAATATCAATGTTATGAACTTTGCAATTTTTTTCATGTTAGTTTTTGAAATTTCAAGCATGAGCTCATTATCTCTTTCAGCCTAATCATATATCAGTCACTTCTGAGTCAATTTATCCAAATCATCAGACTTGTCTAATTAGCTCCATAAATTTTTAAAAACAAGAAGATTAATTTAAACTTAGCATGATTTCTCAAATTAAATATGTTTGAATTTTATTCTTGGACATGAAGTCTTGATGTTTACATCTGAATCGTGTGAAATAAGTCATGAAACGACATCATGATATACCGTGAATACTGCATAATTTTCATAGATTTTCTTCTGATCTTCAGAAAGAAAGAACTTCTCGGTAACAAATTTAATTACATGATTTGATAATTTCTTATCGTTTAATAATTAACAAAACAAAAATAGAAAACTTTCCGAAAATAGATTTTTTGCATGGACGTAATGAAAAATTTTTCTTTTCTTTCTTTGGTTCAAATAATAATACAGAATCAAAATTTGCATCACATGGTCCTAAATCAATGAACTTTAAAATAATCTTAAATGAAGATTCACCTTGATTTGATGTATAAGCACTTCCTATAGATGAAAAATTATCAATACTACATTGATGTATATAAATCTGTCCATCAAATAAAGATCCATCTTTACTCTGTTGATTGCTTTGGAAAGATGAATAAAAAATATCTACTCTATCACCTGAAACAACTAATCCCGAATATTCACCTTTATATTGAGAATTATTTATATAATTACATCGTTCAATTCTTCCTGTACAATGATAAAACTCAGTAATAGTATGTCCAGTTGCAGTTAGATTCTCAAAATTACAAAATGAAATTTTTATTGTTGATTCAATGTGCTGATAATCAAAACCCGGTCTATTTGATGAAATACAGTTAGAAATGTTTGCTTTTGAAAGAGATCCAATTGCTTTATATTGTTCAATCATACTATCTACTGAACTATTTCCTCCATTACAAATGGATCCTCGGAGGATTGTTGTGTTGATTTTTGCCCAGAAAGAAATAAATTGCCCGATTGATGGAGTTCGATTTTCAAATGAACAAAATTTATCAATAATAATGGCAGTATTATTAGTATTAGATATAAATAGTGTACCAGGACCTTGTTCAAAAACTGTTTCAAAAAGTAAAATCCAGTAGTCAACTTTATCTGTGAAATTAACTGCTCTATTTTGAAGGTTGATGAACTTGCAAATGTAAGCAAAGCATTTGTTATATGTTGCTGTGACATTCTCAACTTTACCTGTAATGACCTCTGAAGGAGGATCAATTCCTTCATAATAGTGATGCCAAATACTATTTTGATCATCATTTCTTTGAAAATATCTATCAAAAAACACATCAGGAAAATATAATAATAATATTGAGGATAACACTATAACTTATTCATTCGTGCTCATTATAATATAAATGTAAAGGATGAAATGAAGAAACTGATGTAATTCCTGAAAAAGTGACAATCTCATCATTTTTGTCACATAAATATCGTCACTTTTTCAAATTGTATGGACTATAAAGATGATGAATTTTTTAACATTCAAAGAGAAATTCCTATTGATGAGAAGCAATATGAACTTAAATTCAACCAATTCAAATCGCTTTATGAACTATCTCAATCACATCTAAATGATAAAAATTATATTTTAGCCTGCAATGTTGCATCACGTCTATCAATCAAATTTATTGAAGATCCAACATATATTGATTATTTAAATGATGCAATGGCTTCTAAAATGTGTTTGGAGATTTTAAACAATTTATCTGTTGAAAATACTTCTCAAGAAGTCGTATATCTTATATGTTTTTTTTGAAAAAGTGTTAAGGGTGCACCCGCATGTACGTTTATTTGAGAGGAGGATTACCCTCTCAATTTTGAAAGCTTCGTTAACTTAATATCTCGATGAATATTTGATTAAAATTGAATTTGCCCATACCAATATATCTGATACAATATCTTTAAGTTTTACTAAAAAGAATTTTTTAAAATTCCTGCAGATTCGGGGATTTTTAAATTTTTTGATTTTTTTCGAAAATTTTTCGGAAAAAAAATATTTTCAGAAGAGCCTTAACGGCTAAGTTTTATGTTTAATGTTGAGTATTAAAAAGAATGGGCATCTGATATAGCCATCATATATCCCAGAAGCAAATAAAAATTCTGACTTTTTAAGCATAAAAAATGAAATTTTATTTTTTGCAAAAAACAGGCCACACGGATGTACGTTTATTTGAGAGGAGGAGGATTAAATTTTTGAAAGCACTAAAATTTGTAAATATGCTAGTTATATAATAATATGCATTATTTTAAAAAATAAAAATTAAAGCACGTTGAAATCTTTTTTGATGAATTTTTACAAAAGCTACTCAGGATAATGCAAGATATGAGTAGTTAAACATAAATTTCAAATCAGATTTTACTTATAATAAATATTTTAAATTTCCGAAAATTAAGTTCAGATCGACTCTATACGTAGTAAATACTAAATAAGGTGCCAAAAACCTATTAAACAGTATCAAAACTATCAAGATTGTAATGTTTTTGAAGAAAAATTTATAGAATTATGGACTTCAAACAGATATTATGTAAATAAAAATAATATAATGAATTTATTTATTCGTATAATAGCAGTAATAAGTCGATTATTCACTTCTACTTCTGAGATTTGAATTTAATTTCGACAGAAAAAGAGATTCAAGAGGAAAATACTAGGGGATACAAACAGCCACCATGACAGGATTATTATGGAGCCAAGTTGTATTTTTTGATATTTTTAGAGTTTTCCTACCTATTTAGGTACCAAGTTATTGCTTAAAAATTAAGGTTCTAAATTCTGAAGTTTACATGATCCTCCCGGGCGCACCCTTAAGGTATACTCAGATTGAAGAAGAAGAAATTGCAAATTCCAATTTAATTTCATTTTTGATACAAGGACTAGATAAGGAGAGAGATGTTGTGTATTTTGTTAAAGTTTCATACGAGATGCTTTCCAGTTTGTTTTATAAATTCCATTCACTTTTGGAAACTTTTTATGAATGCAATGGCATTGAAATGATGCTGGAACAAATAGAAAGGATTGAGTATAAAGAAGAAGACATAATATTTGGAGATATAGGCTTTATTACAAATATAATAATTCAAAATAATCCTCCAAGAGAAATTGCAGAAAAATTGAGCATGGTCCTAACCATAATATACGGATATCATATGTATGACATTGGATCTCAAATTGTTGCTTCTTATCTTGATCATTTTCCAGATATAATCGAATATTTTATAGAAAATGATATTTTGGAAATAGTTTTCTCATCCTTACCTTATGTCAATGGGAAAATATCCGAAATGCCTCGAGAAAAGCCAATTCGTGAAAAAATGTCAAAAGATTATGAAATTGATAGAAAATCTATTATTAATTCATATACGATATATAATATAATCATCTCAAAATTAGATCCGCCAATGATAGATAGAATAATAACAACTTCTACTCTTGAAGAGTTTATTTCGTGTGCCACATCAGATATATGGGATTATTCTATTTATGCCATCAATTTTTTCATTAATTATTCATTAAAGGATTCATTATTTGCTAAGAATTTGTTTGATTCTAATTTTTTTGGATTTTATATTTCAAACTGGGAAAGAATTCCCGCCAAAATAAGACTTTCTGTCTCTAATTTAATACTTGAAATTCTACATTCCCTATTAAATACTGATGTAATCGTAATTGAGGATCAAATCTGGAAATTATTAATTGATCTATGTTCAGATGCAGACGATCAAGCAATAAATAACAAACTAATATGTTTGATAGACTCTATTATCGATCAAAATCCTGCTAAATTTGCTGAATTTGCTGAACAAATAGATGAGTTTGAAGTAGATGAAGAATTCTACTCAAAACAGCAGCACATCCTAGATTCAATTGCATCCATCGAAAATCCTACTACGTAATCCTTCTAATGTTCAATGTTACCCCAATTTTTTTTACATCAGCATGTTCGAAAATCGTACATTCATTTTTGACATCATTGTTTTTAATGTACTTATGGCAAACATTGGTTAATCATAAAAGAAAATAATTCTTGAAAATTGATTCCACTCAAAAAATAGGGCTTTAGCTTTCCTTTAAGAACTTTTAGATTTGGTATCTGATATAATATTATATCTGTAGCATGCAAGAACATATTCAAGAAAAAAAAAATTCAATAAAATACAAATTGTATTAGAATTAGACATGCTTATCCATATGCAAATAAAACATGATTTTATTTTTGTTCACATTTTGTATAGTAACGATTTTTTTTCCAAAAAAGAAACAGGACATGGATCTGAATTTCGAATACATTGCTGCTCATATCAGCAATTACATTAACAATGAAAACTTCTTTGATACATTTGATATCGAAAACATCAAAACAATCATGAAATATACACGTTTGACAGCTGATCAATACGTTACTCTTCTCAAACAATCTCATTCAACTATCAATACCAAAGACTTATATATCTGTACACGAAAAGCAAATGTTACTATCAAAAACATCGAAGAAATCGTTTTAATTCTGAAATCTGTAAATAGATACATGAAATTCAGTATATTTGATGGTATTATTGATTTTTTAAAACAGAATGAGAAAGTAATAAACTATTCTACGAACGAGAAAGCTTTTCAAAATAAAAATGAAAATGAAAGTGAAAATGCGACCAAAGATATGACAATCAGTCAAACTAATGAAAATTACAATCATTCACGAGATATTTTAACTAAAATTACAGAACTTAAGGAATCTAGTGATTTTGAAACCGTTTACAAATTCCTTGATGAACTTTCTTCGAAAAGAAACCATGAAATGATTTCAAAATCAATCGAAGAAGGACTTTGGCAAAAGATTGCTCCTGAAAAAGATAAATGGGATCCTGATAGGAATATTCTTCACTTTGCAATTGAAAATGGAAATCTTAGACTTGTTCAATCACTCATCGAATGTGGTTGTGATAAAGAAGCCAAAGATAATAAAGGATTTACTCCCCTCATTTGGGCATCAGCTAATGGTAAACTTGACATTGTTAAATATCTTATCTCAGTTGGAGCTAATAAAGAAGCAAAGAATAAACCTGGATATACACCACTCATTTATGCATCAGAAGAAGGTCATCTTGAAGTTGTTAAATATCTTATCTCTGTTGGAGCTGATAAAGAAGCAAAGACTAATTATGGATCTACTCCACTCACTCAGGCATCACTTGGTGATAAACTTGATGTTGTTCAATATCTTATCTCAGTTGGAGCTAATAAAGAAGCAAAGACTAATTATGGATCTACTCCACTCACTCAGGCATCACTTGGTGATAAACTTGATGTTGTTCAATATCTTATCTCAGTTGGAGCTAATAAAGAAGCAAAGACTAATTATGGATCTACTCCACTCACTCAGGCATCACTTGGTGATAAACTTGATGTTGTTCAATATCTTATCTCAGTTGGAGCTAATAAAGAAGCAAAGACTAATTATGGATCTACTCCACTCACTCAGGCATCACTTGGTGATAAACTTGATGTTGTTCAATATCTTATCTCAGTTGGAGCTAATAAAGAAGCAAAGACTAATTATGGATCTACTCCACTCACTCAGGCATCACTTGGTGATAAACTTGATGTTGTTCAATATCTTATCTCAGTTGGAGCTAATAAAGAAGCAAAAGATTACCTTGGATATACTCCACTCCTTTGGGCATCAAGATATGGTAAACTTGACGTTGTTCAATATCTTATCTCAATTGGAGCTAATAAAGAAGAAAAAGAAAATAAAGTTATAGATCCGTATTTTTCCCAAGTGAGCGGGGTATCTCTAATCCCAGCCCTATCGTCCTCCCAGTGTCAGTTTTTAATATAAAATCCAAAATTTTTTAAAAAATAAAAATTTCGAGAAATTTTTTAAGTTTTTTTTCTTTGATTTCAATAATACAAAATAAATTTGGGAGTAAAAAGACACTATTTAATGAAATTCATATGAGTGAATTAAGGGTTTCGTTTTGCGAAAAAAACATACAATACGCAATTTCGCTAAAAAAACATTTAGCTAGCAATTTCGACCTTTGACTCCACTCAAGACGTCACTTTTTTAATTTTGCGGTATCATATTTTTGGAAAATCTTTATGAATATTATATAAAAAGTCTCTTTAATATCTATATTTCATATTTTTATCGATTTTTAAAGTTTTTGCGAAAAGTATTCAATTATTTTTGCTATTTGGTCGGGTAAATGTCAGATTTGCGACATTTTCTGATATGATATTCAGATTCTACGTTGATAATAATGCTTATAGAACCCTCTTGCTATTGTGTCAAAATTGCGAAACCGATAGCAAAAATATCTCGCAATATCAAAATTGAGATATTGAGTGAATTATGCATTATAGAGATTAAAAATCTGATTTGTGAAAACATCTCATCAGTTTCTAGCTAATTCAAAAATCTTTACTATCTTATTCGATTAAAATGAAAAGGGAATAGTTTCATTATGCTTTAAATGACAGCCTTATAATATAATCATAGTTTTCGCTCAATATGCAGCATTTTTTTTTCGAAATCTATGGTCAATGTCCTAAATACTGATTGCTTTGCATTCATATCTCTTACATTTTCTATACCCACATCACTATTCATTGCTATTCCTATCTTTTTCATTTTTGTTTGTTTCTCATAATTTCTCAAAAAACACGATAACTTGATATTTGTAAATATCATACTTTATAACGTAAATAAGAACTTGACCTATTAAGAAAAGCAGTAATGAAAAGAAAATCTGAAATTCATAAAAATTACAAGTTTCTGATGACAATTAGCTTAATTAAACAGGTACAAGATTATATAATTGTATTTTCTATCCAATTATCCATATAATATCTTATCCAGAAAAAATAACTTGATCAATACCAAATGATTTTTTAACTAGTAAATAAAGTATTTTCTTTACACACACATTGTATATCATAGTTTTTTTTGGTTTCGCAAAACATCCAAAAACAAATATGCTATAAAAGTGACAATTTTAGCAAAACGAAACCCTTAAGTGAATGTGGATAAATACTCTCAAAACATACAATTTATATATTTTTTCTTTATGTTATCAACTAATTAGTGATAATTTTTTTTGAATCAGATTTTTTTTCATTAAAAACATAATATATAACGCAATAATGATGTACACATACGTATCTACACATCAAAATATAAAGTTTGTTTTGGTCTGGGCATCCCAACCAAAAATTCTTAAAAAATTGAATAAAATTGAATACTTGGGGCTGGGATACCCAGCCCGAAACCGAATTGAATTTTTTGAATTAAAGAATATATTTACGTATTTATAATATATATGTGATGTTTATAAAAAATACTAAATTTTTGTAAAAAAATTCAATTTATTCAAAACGTACATTAAGTGATCACTTCATTAGTAGGATCAGTGATCCTACTAAATGGTGAGAATGCCACTAGATAAAAAGGGAGTCCTTGGAGCTCTTGATCTCTTGTCAGTAGAGTCCATAATGAGGCATGGCATCTACTGATTAGAGATCAGAGCAATCCTACCTTACCTTCAGGAGCTACAAAGCTCCTAATCGTTACGAGAGGGAGCCTTGGAGCTCCTGAAGCTCATCAGCAGAGGCTATTTACCATTTGGGCCTCTTCTGATGAAAGATGCGAAGCTCTTCTACGAACCAGGAGCTCCAAAGCTCCTAATCCTTACGAAAGGGAGCTTTGGAGCTCCTGAGTCTTCATCAACAGAGTCCCAGATGGTAAATGTCCTATGCTGATGAAAGATGCGAAGCACATCTTCGAACCAGGAGCTTCAAAGCTCCCATTCCTTACGAAAGGGAGCTCTGGAGCTTCTGAAACTCCTTTTATTATCAGATAGGACAGTTTTTCTTCTGAGGCTTCTCATCAAATCTAAGACTTCAGAAAGAAAGCTGTCCTATCCGTGTATACTTACATTCTAATTGACTACAAGTGTACAACTTTAAGGCAGAGATATATCCGAGGCCTCTCATCAAATGAGGGACCTCGGATAATCTCTGCCTTAAGTAGTCAAATAACTTTTCTGACTATTCAGGAACAAGAGAACAAGAATTGGAATACTTTAAGGCAAGGTTCTTCCGAAATCTCTCATCGAATGAGAGACTTCAGAAGGACCTTGCCAAATCCTTGAACACTGATATCCTTGGAACTGAGCTAGGACCAAGGAGAAATAGTGTACTATAGCTCACGATGGTAATCTCGGAATTACTTATATTGCCACATGCACAATATCTATTCAGCCAGACTCCTATATACAAGAAGTCAGGCTGAATAGATATTGTGCATATGGTTTGCAGAACTCTAATAACACATAAAATTTTGTTATCCCAAAAAGGTGACATTTTGGGTGTATCGTCCATCCCAGGGATGCAAAAATCACATCACCTTGTATCTATAAATAAAGGATATACTCCACTTCTTCTTGCAACATCTACTCATAAACTTGAAGTTGTTAAATATCTTATCTCTGTTGGAGCTAATAAAGAAGCAAAGACTAATTATGAATCTACTCCACTCGTTATTGCATCAGCTAATGGTAATCTTGACATTGTTAAATATCTTATCTCAGTTGGAGCTAATAAAGAAGCAAAGAATAAACCTGGATATACACCACTCATTTATGCATCAATTAATGGTCGTCTTGAAGTTGTTAAATATCTTATCTCAGTTGGAGCTAATAAAGAAGCAAAAGAAAATAATGGATATACACCACTCATTTCTGCATCACATTATGGTCATCTTAGCGTTGTTCAATACCTTATCTCAGTTGGAGCTAATAAAGAAGCAAAGGATAATTATGGACAAACTCCACTCATTCACGCATCAAGAGAAGATAGTCTTGAAGTTGTTATATATCTCATCTCAGTCGAAGCAAAGAGTAATGATGTAAAAACTGCAATGATGGTTGCAAAAGATAAAGTAAGAGATTACTTAAAAACTATTTATGCCAATTAGCTCAATCATCTACTTATTTAAAAATTCATTTTGTCAACTTTTCAAAATATTTTAATTTTTAAGGGTGCAGATACCACTTTCTGACATTCTCTCAATTTTTGGCATCCCTTTCTTTATATTCCAATTTATATAGTTTCATTTTGAAATACAAATGATATAAAGTATGAACACTCACTAAAGGAATTAATGACTCATAAAATTCTTCGATATTTTGCTTTTAATTGCAGATCATTATGAGGAGTGTCCAAAGAATTTTCAATTTTTGTCTAATTTATCATCGGTTGAACAATTTAAAATAGGAAATCTTGATTTATATGTAAATGTTTGTTTATATTTGTTAAATTTTCCCTTATTTCGTAAATTTTGCTACAAAATCAATTTCTATCTAAATTATTACTTGAGGCCATATCTTCAACTTTAATTATAGTTGAAAATCCTTTGTTTCAATTTTGAGGAAATTCAAATTTTCGGAATAAACTAGTACTAAAATTAAATAACTATTCATATTTATAGATTTTTCATTTTTGTTGTCATGTTTTACGTAGATTCAATTTTTATCGTCAGAGAATTTTGGCGCCATGACTGATGACCCTTCTATGGGATTAGATTTATCGATGATGAACGGTATGGGTATGGGACAGCAACAAATGAGTACAGATTACCTCAATTTTCAGAACACAAATCAACAGTATTCGCCTGAAATCCTTTCATTAATTTATCGAAATCAGACACAAAATACTCAATCCTCTAAAGTTCCACAGTATTGCACTCGTGGAAGTTGGTCCCAGCAAGAAGATGAACAATTAATTTCTGCAGTTCATCAACTTGGGCCCAAGAAATGGACAGATATTGCAAGATTTGTTCCTACAAGAACTTCCAAACAGTGCAGAGAGAGATGGCATCATTGTTTAGACCCTCAAATCAGACACGAGCCGTTCGAGCCATGGGAAGATCAATTAATTTTAGAAAAGCAACGCGAAATTGGTAATAAATGGTCAATAATCGCACAACAGCTACCAGGAAGAAGCCCTGCTTCTGTGAAAAATCGTTGGTATTCAAGTCTTAAAACTAATACAAATCATATTGCCACATTTACTGGTGGAATTATGCTAGATACAGGTATCAATAAGAATTCTGATGTTTTAGATGAGTGAAATATTCAAACTTTTGTTTGCAGTTTTGTTCATTTTTTAGTTTCATTTCTATTTGTCTTATAATAAAAATTTACCGTATATTATATTCAAATTTAAAGGATACCCGGATAAAATCAGTATATTACTATAATTCAAATTTACAATAAATTGTTTTTTAGCTTTCGTTGCTTTGCAATGTGCTCGTTCTGCAGGAATCTTAATGATGTTATCCATACAAATAGAAAAATGTGAGCTTATATATCAAATATTTTATTCAAATAGATACGTTAACGAGAATCAAAAAAAAAAAAAAAAAAAAAAAGGTAGTGGGGCCTCCAGGCACTTCGTGCCCTCTAGCCCTGAAGATGTTTAGTATAACTTTGTCCGGACAAGTAAGGGTCTATCGTCGCTACAGGAAAAGTTACAGGCGTTCCACGGAAGTATACTTTGAGAAGCCTTTTCTGTCACTTTTCAGGAAAAAAACATTTTTATTATTATATATAAATGAATTTTACAAAACCACCGTTACCGTTCTTTGGAAATAAGAGTAAATGTAAAGATATTATATTGAGAGAACTTAAGAAACTACCGAATGGTCTAACATTTGTAGATTTGTTCGGTGGAAGTTTCTATATATCCCATTTGTGCCATACAATATTCCCAGACTCAAAGATTATATGCAATGACTTCGACAACTATATGGACCGTCTCAAACATATTCCAGACACAAACAATATATTGAAAGAGTTAAAAGAAAAGATACCTATAGGTAAGATGGAACGTATACCATTAGATAAGAAAAATATTGTGAGAGAGGTTTTGAAAAAAGCAGAATATATAGACTGGGATAGTATATCTGCTAGACTATTATATAGTGGTTCTATAAGAGTTCATGACATTGAAACACTTATGTCAAATGTTTTATATCTTAACTATACAAATGTTTTCAAAGAGGACATAGAAAAATATATTGAGGGTATAGAGTTTGTGAGATGTCGTTGGACAGAGTTGTATGAAAAATATAAAGACAAGGAAAATGTTTTCTTTATAGTGGACCCGCCGTTCTATAACACATGCGATTTTCAATACCAAGTAGACTGGACTTTGAGAGACTCTTTAGAAACTTTAGACGTTTTACATAACTGTCCATGCTTTTACTTTACATCCGATAAAAGTGGTTTGGAAACCGTTATGAGATGGTTAGAGGACATACATGACTATGAGTTTAGATATGACAAGATAGAATATGAGAGAGGTCTATAAACCGGAGAAAGTGTCATAACAAAGAAATTTTATTGGTAAGTAAATGTGGTTTGAAATAGGACTACTTGTTTTAGGTTTTTTCCATTGTGTCATTTATTTATTTGACGTGGCAGAAAAGTACAGAGAATATGAAGATGAACCAATGCCTGCAAATGTTCAGCATATGTACTCGTAAGAGATATTTTATCTAATATTAAATGGACGCACAGAACTTAGCGAATGCACAGCAACCTGGACAACCAAACCCAGAGAATATTCCAAATAAGTCAGAATACAAACTGCAATGGCAAACTATGGTCAAGTGCCAACAGATGTACAAATGCAAACTGCCATGTCAAATGACGCTGCGTTAGGTTTGCCACCATGGTATGCAAATATGAGATGGAAAGAGTTTTATACAAACCCCGAAGTGGGATATAAACAACTCTATGCAGATGACGCGAACACAGGAGTTGACCCAGAATATGTTTTCTACCAGAGGAGAAACAGAATGTATGAGCTCCAGTTAAAGAATGCTATGGAACTCAACAGGAAACGTAAGAGACTAGGCGGACATTAGATTTTTACACGTAGTAAATGGGTTTCTTTGGAAGAATAGGAAACTTCTTTCGAAATGTTGGAAGAGGTATATGGAATGGAATAAAATCTGTCGGAAGAGGAATTTGGAACGGAGTCAAAAATATTGGTAAAAGAGTAGGTCAGTTCGTTGGTATTACCTAAAGACCCTGAACCAGAAGAACAAGCTCCTGTTATACCAACAGCCTGAACCTGCACCACAGTCTAGTTGGCAACCAAATCCAACACCTCAACCGTATTAAAAAATTATATTTTTACCGTTCGATAGTAGTTGTATATGAAACTAAGTTCTAAGTAAAACGCATGGTATAATGGAATTGTTCTTTTTCTTCCATCTGTAGTAAACCATACTTGAAAGTCTGAAATACTTCCACTTGGTGGTTCATATAGCTTTGTAGGTTTTTCGTAAAAGTCATTTGCCAAGCATAAAAAAGAGTTTTGTGCACCAGAAAATGAAGCATGAACTATCACAGCATCTTGGTCGAAAACATTTTCATATGTTCCATTAGGGTTTTCGACTTCATAAAAGTCCGGGTGTACTGGATATTCTGCAGGCTGATTTAACATCCTCATAAATCTATACCATGCCAAGTTGTTATATTTTGTAGAAATATAAACGTTTTCTCCAAGGTCTTCTATTCTATTGATTTTAACAGTTGCATTTTTCCTGTCATAAATAATATCGAGATGGTACTCTCCCTCGTCAATGTTATACTGGTTTGCATATTCGATATAGATGTCGTTTATTTTTTCTTGAAAAGCTTGAAGAGTTGTTTCTAAGTTTACAAGCAAATTCACTTGTAAAAGTTTTCCCTGTTCAAATTTCTCATACATACGTTTTTCTTTGTTATAGTATCGAACTTCAAAACCGACCGTAAATGGGAAACCATGTATGGCTTCTGAAATGAACTTCATTCTACGAAAGCCAATAGCTTTTGTGACGGATGGGTCTCTTAACCATCTTAATGGGTAGTCAAAACGATAGCCTTCATGCTTTACGGTCTCTGTCTCAAACTTTTGACCGATATTAGTAAAAAGTTCATCTAATGGTTTAGTTGTAGCAACTCTTGAATTTTCTTTTTCTATTGAAAGCATATTTTATCTAGAATAAAAATGTCAAATGAAACAGCGTCTATGAGAGAAATACAACACAACCGACAACTCATTATGCAAGCTCTAAATAAGAACACAACAAACTTTTCAAACTATTCTAAGATATCTGAGTCATTGAAAGAAGGAAACTTAAAACTGACATTAAACCCAATGACAGATGAGTTTCTATTTCAAGACAAGAAGAACAATACTGTCTGTATAAATCCAACAAAAGGAACTTTAAACGAGAAACCTATAAATGAACTTCTTTTGAAAGCAGATGTTGACAACAAAGCAGACAAAACATATGTAGACGATGCAATAGCAAAAGAAGAAGAAAGAGCTAACAAAGCTTATGCAACAAAAGAACATACTCATCCTGAACTAGCAGACAAAACATATGTTGACAATAAAATGTCAAGTGAAGTGACAAGAGCTGAAAACGAATATTCTAAAAAGACTCATATACATTCTATATCTGAAATAACAGACTTAAACGTTAGCCTTGAAAAGAAAGCGGATAAGGAATATGTGGCTAGTAAGTTAGAGAAGAAAGCGGATAAGGAATATGTGGATGAAAAAGATAACGAAATGAAAGAAAGGGTTGACTGGTACCATGAATGGACATCGAAGATTTTAAAAAGTAAAGCTGATACGGGATGGGTTTCAGGATGTTTAGACCTTAAAGCAGATAAAACTTATGTTAACGATGAGTTAGAGAAGAAAGCAGACAAGAACCATACACATACAAGTTTTACAACTGTTGCTATAGAAAGTATTGAAGGAACGGTTGAAGAACCTGATGGGGATGTATTATATTGGAAACCTCCTAACTTTCCACAAGGTTTAACATCGGATGAAAACATAACAACGATGAGAAACATTAGATGTAAAGATGTTTATGTCATGAAGGATGAAAATAACGTTAAATTCACTGCTCAAGATTTATATGAGAAGAAAGCAGACAAAACAGAGCTTCAAACATTAAAGACAGAAATACTTCAAACATTATATCCTATAGGCTCTATTTATACGTCAATGAACTCTACCAGACCAGAAGTAGTTCTGGGTTTTGGAACTTGGACTCAAATAGTCGACAGGTTTTTGTATTGTGCAAACTCTTCAAAGGAAACAGGTGGAAGTAAAACGATTTCAGGTGAAAACTTACCTGCGCACAGTCACTACATAGATTTAAGTACATCTCAAGCAGGTTGGCATAGTCATAGATATTGGAATTGGTCAGCAATGACAAAAGGTAAAGGATATGATGTTAAAGACAACGTTCAGTTTGCTATAAATTGTTACTGGAGTAACACTGAGGGAGGAGGAAACCATACACATCGCGTTTCAGGGTATACGCAAACAACCGGACAAAGTAAAGACTACATGCCACCTTACATGACAGTTTACGCATGGTATAGAAATGCTTAGTCGTCATTTTCAACTTCTTTAGCATATTCGTCAGGAGTTGTCTTATATTTGTTAGGAACTGTCTTTGAAAGTATACCACCTTGAACTTTGACAAGTTTGAAACGAGGTCTGACAATAGTAGTTTTATCTTCTGCTTGCAGTGTGTACATTTTGCCATGTTTGCCTAAAACTTCATAATATTCTCTTGTATACTTTCTTCTATTTTTACGAACACGAATGTGAGTACCTGTCGGGTTCCCATTGTTGTCATAGTCAATAGTATTTTCATATGGGTCGCGTTTAGGTATTTCTATTTTTACTTTGTCACCTTTCTGAAGTTTGAAGCCCGGCATTCTTTCTTGTTTGTCTCTTTTGACTAAATTATTAAATATATAGTCTTTCTCTAAGTCAGGGTTGTTTTTCATTTCTTCGGGGGAGTGGTTTCCCAAACCTTTTTGTTTACGGTTATTGTAAATATTTAAAACTTGTCTCATCTTTGCCTGGGAGAAGTGTCTATATTTGTCATCATATGATAGGAGGATGGAAAGAAGATAGAAGAAGAGAAACCAAAAACTGAAGATAAACCAAAACCAAAGTTTAGTTTCCAAACTAAACCAAGTCAACCTTCATTAGCTGGTATGGGTTGGCGTCAAAGACTTATGGCAGCAGGCGGTTATGTTAAGTAAAGAAAAAAATATTTTTTTATTTTATTTGAAATGTACGCTGAGTTTGTTGGAGAAGACCGTTGGGAAACTTGTTTGTTAGATGAGAAATATGAAATGGCATACCATTTTAAAACAATATATTTTTTAAAAAATATTTTTTTATTTTATTTGAAATGTACGCTGAATTTGTTGGAGCAGACCGTTGGGAAACTTGTTTGTTAGATGAGAAATATGAAATTCACTGTTGTGAGTCATTTGAAGTCAGAAACAAAAAGACAAAAAGAGTTTTAAGCGAATGGGAGCGAAATGACGGATATGCTATTATGAAGATGGGTGGGAAACGCTATCTTAAACATGTTGTCATTGCAACTCATTTTATACTGAATCCTAACAATTTACCTTTTGTAGACCATATAAACCATATAAGAAACGACAATAGACTTGAAAACTTACGTTGGGTCACTCGTTCTGAAAACAATAAGAACAAAGGCAAATTTGGAGATATTGTATTCGAATTTGTCGACGAACTAGAAGATGAAACAATTGAAATTACAGACTATGGCAAGCATACGTTTGAGTTTTACTACTATAGCGAAGAACAAGACTCTTTCTACTTTTATACCGGCGTAAACTATAGGAAATTACAAGTATATTTTACTAAGGAAGGCTATGCTTATGTAAACACTAGAGATACAGATGGAAAACACGTTCAAATACTTCTTAACAAATTCAAGAAGCTATATGGCATACCATTTTAAAACAATATATTTTTACATATATTAAATGCTTCAGGTTGAAAACAAAGAACAAAAGTAGCAGATACAAAACCGTTAGACTATATCTTTACAAATGCTGGTAGGACTATTTCAGATGAAGAAATTTCATCCCGAGCATACAGGTTTGACTATCCAATTCGTTGGCTTCAAAGTCCTTCAGATGCAAAGGCAATAGGATTTAGAAGAGTTTTCAAATAGAACGAACGCATTTATGTTCGCAGTATATTTTCATGGGCAGTATAAAGGTTCTGATGGTCTAATAGACAAATTTGATGAAATGAAATCTTTACAGTTCGTTCAGACGAAAGTCTTGAGAAAACTCTAAATGACTTTCAAACTCAAATGAACAAATATTATTGGGAATTTCAAGAAAAATACGACTCTTTACTAAATGGAACATACTATCTGAAACTAGAATATGACAAGATGAACTCCACCGTTTCATTTCAAAAGATTGAAATTAACCCTCCAAGAGATACAGAGTTTTTATTTTGGAAAGTAGACAAACGTTCTTGGGCACAATTTCTTCGGTTACTAAACCAGAACGAACCATTACCACCAGATGGTCCATTTAAATTTATACTTCCACCAGCAGATTTGACAGTTTATAGAAACGTGTTTGACCCTCAAAATGTTATGTGTCATGCAAGTTTCAGTTCAAGCAACAATAGTTTTCTATGTATTGGTAAGGACTTTTATGACTTTGCTTCTAAATTCTACGAACCACCTAGTAACAGTTTCTCTGACTTTCAAGTTTGGTTCACAACAAATGGTGTGCAACATATTATTCCATTGTACTATGACTTTTATCTCGAATTGTCTTTCATATATAACTACGGAAAAGTGCTGAAAAAGTATTGAAAAATATATTTTAGGTGAAGAGGTGAGATCTCACCTCTTTTCTCACCTCTTTTCTCACCCGTTGAATTTTGTTGCTGAATTCGGCAAAAATATATTTTAGGGTAGATGGTTTTTAGGTGTCACCAGGTCCCTCGGTCCCTCGGTCCCTCGGTTAAACGAACTTCTCTGAAAAAATGAGACAACATGACATTTTGACAACAACACAGGAAATAAACTTCTTCGTATATGTTTTGTCATGATTTCATCGTAAATGTTTTGTCAAACATGAACGTATATGTTTTGTCATGACTTCATCGTACATGTTTTGAAGAACTGAAGGTGTCACCAGGTCCCTCGGTCATTTTAACTTCTCTGAAAAAGTGTGACAACATGACATTTTGACAACAGTCCAGGAAATAAACTTCTTCTTCGTAAATGTTTTGTCATGACTTCTTCGTATATGTTTTGTCAAGACTTCATCGTACATGTTTTGTCAAGACTTCTTCGTAAATGTTTTGTCAAGACTTCTTCGTAAATGTTTTGTCAAGACTTCTTCGTACATGTTTTGTCAAGACTTCTTCGTAAATGTTTTGTCAAGACTTCTTCGTAAATGTTTTGTCAAGACTTCTTCGTAATGAGTGTAAAGGACCCAAAAATATAATTTAGGGTAGAAGGTTAGATCTAACCTCTTTTCTCACCTCTTTTCTACCATCGTAGAAAACACACAAAACTCTTGAATTTTCCCGAAATAAAAAATAAAGTTAGTTTTTTTAAAAAAATATTTTTTATTTTTATTGTAAGAACATGTTAGCAACAACAGCACCAAACTCGTTAGTCATGAACCCAACTTCAATGTTAGTAGAAATGAAAAGCTTCATTCCTTCTTCATATACTTTCGAAACAGAAATCCAGAAGATAAAGCAAGAACTTCTCCAAGGAGATTTAGATTGCACTGCGAAAGATGAAACAAATGAAGAATATCTTTATGAAATGCAGGATATTATTGACCATCTACCTAAACTTCCTGAAATCCAACAACAAAAGCTTACTATTCCTGAATTCGATGAAATAGAAGTAAAAACAACCGACTCAGTTGAAATAAAGAAGTTCATACGTAAGGTTAACTATGAGTTTCTTGGATTTCATTGCAACCACAAAGTCATGGACAAAGATTGCGACATGTTATATAAGAATGTTTCTGACATATATAAATCGGAGGAGTTTAAGACCTACGACAACTTTGTTTCGTTAGTTGCTGAATGTGTATGGCAGATAAGAGATAAAGATAAAAGATGTAAAATATGGAACGAACAAATAAAACCCGCAACTTTTGAGTTAAAGAAAACCATTGACGCTATAGTTGTACTTGCAGGACAAATTTCAATGTACAATGCTAAAATGAACCCACAATGTTCTAAATGTAAAGCAGCAATGAGGAAATATAACTACTCCGTCAAAGAGATAGAACGTATGCGAAACGACTATGCTGACTTAAAGAAAGAAGCAGAGAAACCAGCAGAAAATAAAATGGACATGTTAGAATTTCTGAACAAAAACTATCCAACTGCTGACGATTTCCTTCTTTCAGATGTCAAGAAGAAATATAAAGAAACATTCAATATTGTGAAAACTTTTGACATACTGACAGAAGAAATAGAAGCCACAAAATTGTTTAGAATTTCAAATATACATCGTACAATTCATGTAAAACGCTTATAAAAAAAAGAGGTGAGAAAAGAGGTGAGAAAACGGGTGAGATCTCACCTCTTCACCTAAAATATATTTTTGCTGAGTAAAATGACCAAATTTCATTATATAACTGTTATTTTTTTACGAAGAGAACTTTTGCACTTCGTCAAAAAAATCCCTGAAATCATATCTTTTATACAAAATTCAAGAGGTGAGAAAAGAGGTGAGAAAAGAGGTGAGATCTCACCTCTTCACCTAAAATATATTTTTGCCGAGTAAAATGGCATATGGAACACATACTTTTTCAGTAAGGACATATGAGGTGAAAAAAGAGGTGAAAAAACAGGTGAGATCTAACCATCTACCCTAAAATATATTTTTGCTGAAAAAAATGACCAAATTTCATTATATAACTGTTATTTTTTACGAAGAGAACTTTTGCACTTCGTTTAAAATACACTATTTTTGTGTTATTTTTGACGAAGAGAACTTTTGCACTTCGTAAAAAAAATCCCTGAAATCATATCTTTTATACAAAATTCAAGAGGTGAGAAAAGAGGTGAGAAAAGAGGTGAGATCTCACCTCTTCACCTAAAATATATTTTTGTCTGATTTACGCTCATTACGAAGAAGTCTTGACAAAACATATACGAAGAAGTCTTGACAAAACATGTACGAAGAAGTCTTGACAAAACATATACGAAGAAGTCTTGACAAAACATATACGAAGAAGTCTTGACAAAACATGTACGAAGAAGTCTTGACAAAACATGTACGATGAAATCATGAAAATTCACGAGGGTCGCAAACAGGTTAGAAAACAGGTTAGATCTAACCATCTACCCTAAAATATATTTTTGCTGAAAAAAATGACCAAATTTCATTATATAACTGTTATTTTTTACGAAGAGAACTTTTGCACTTCGTAAAAAAAATCCCTGAAATCATATCTTTTATACAAGATAGAAAATCTTACTCGCCTAAAACTCATGAAAATCGTGAAAAAATGACCAAATTTCATTATATAACTGTTATTTTTTGACGAAGAGAA